CAGATCTACCAGTATGTGCTTGCTTACCTGTAATACGCGGATGGAGTGACATTATACGCGAAGCTGAGTCTATTCCACCTTGGACGTTGGGTTCCATCTTCGAATGTCTCATCATCACTACTGAAAAAATCATTCAAAACTCCCTGGTCCCCGCCATCCCAACTACCACGCTCGAAGAAGAAAGCATAGAGTCGATCGAATACATCTAGGTTTGGTTGAATGACCATAAGGCCGGAGTTGAAACAATCGGGCCAGCCAGTATCTGGAGAGGCCGAGAACTCATTCGGAAGTTGAAATAGGTGAGATATTGATTTGAGGATCAGGGTATCCGCATCAACATAGATGACCTTTTGATACTGGACTAGTCTCCATATATGTATCTTGGTGATGGTACCAGATAAATCCTGCCTGCCTGCTCAAAGACAAACATGTGTCAATATGACTGAAGATCAAAAGTACAAAAGCCAAGGCGCAATCACATACTGCAATGTAGCAATGAGAATCTGACGAGAAAAAGAACTCAGTCAGAGCAACTTACCGAGCAAGTTGAGCTCATCTTTGTTGGATGAGCTGATCGCATCAACTGAAATGACGAGGTTGTAGACTTTTCTGAGTGCTTTGATTGACTCGACGCTGACGGAGTCCAACGTGATCAGGCAGACAAGATCAAAGTCTTGAGCTGCGTTGTCTTTCTCCGATTGTTTAATCGAATGTGCCGTGACCAAGCAGCCAGGCAGATATGGATCACTGGCATAATTCATGCGGGTTAGCTGAATACTCTCTCGGTACAGAGTTAGGTATTTGAGGTACTTACGAGGTGAGCATGGTGACAAATGCATATGGGGCCATTTTGAGTACTGTGATATCAAGGAGCGCTCGCTGGAATGTGAACAGGCTTTGAGTAGCTTCTTGAGTCGAGTGAAAAACTTGGATTAAACAGTGCTCGTATATTGAAAGTCACAATCAGAGATCTGGAAGACGTAGGGTTCTTGTTATCAAAAAGCTGTCTGAATGTAGTCCAATGCGAACAAGCCGATCGCAGGACAAACTTTTGGACTTGAGGAAATTTCAAAAGGAATTGGAACAAAGGATCGACACTGCTGCCAATCGAAACTGATGGGGCGTGGTCATAAAGAAGGTCAATTGTAAGTGTCACTCCTGCATGTGTTGGTTTCCCGGATGTGGGAGAACGGTCTACGAAGCTGATTGCGCATCCTCGTATGAGACAAGGAAGTGGGGATAGGGCATATATCTGTGCACTGACCCTATATGTATGATAAAGAACGGTCCCAAGCTGGAGTATGGAGTTCAATCAACGAGAATCATGCAGACCCTCAAGGCAAACAATTTTTAAGGCTGAACCACACTGACAGAATTGAGTGACTCCTTTGTTCCAAGATACAAATAAAAGAATACCGATTTGATTGACATCAGTTTACCATCGATTCAACAATGGGGAGAAAGTGCGGTTAAAAATCTTACTGAAGAGCTGGGGATACCGATGTCCCTTTGAAAAAGCAGCAGAAGTAAAAGTGAGAAGTTGATGGTGAGGAAGGTGGCAGTCCTTTCATCCAGATTGTTGTTTAATAAAAAGAGAAAGACTTGAAATCTCAGTCAACCGTCAAATAAGTTAACAGCAGCTGACCACTCATCGTCGATTGATGACGTAGTTGAAAGATTTACACATGTCCTTCATACAGTCGTCCTGGACTACCCGAACACCACTTTGGACCACTCATTCACCGACGAATCACAGTTGCTTTCAAAGTTTAAGACACCAGCGAGTGGATGAATTCACTGATATCCTATGTATCATCGGTTCAGGATTGTATTGACTGATGAGTTATATAGTCATCTTCTTTCTTTCTTCTCCCGTGATCTAAAGTGCTTTTGGAGCTACAGAAAGCTATCAAACACTTCGGCAAATTGTAATCAATCAATTAACCATACTCTACATGACACTGGAAATGGATTCCAGCTTGGCGATCGAAGGTGTGTGATTGTGCGGTGTGCTCAAAGCTGCTCAAAGTCAACCTGAAGCCCGGCCTTGCCCGTTTCTCTTGGCTGGGACAGGCTGGGATTCGCCTGGGAGAAGAGGAAAAACTGCATTCTCAAAGATACATTAGCAGAAACCATGCAATATCTGGGAATACGTTCCAGGCGGATTATGAAGCATTTTGACGCGAAGCAATGTTTGTTCACCATGTCCTTCCTTTAGGATATCAGAGACTCGTGTAGGTCTGAACATAGTGGTGGACCATTGCTGGTAGCGTTTTTATATGTGAACACATTCTGCTTAGGGAAGATACTTGATATGGAAGGCCCCGGAGTCTTTCATACTTGCAACAGGAGCTTTGCTCTGACTTGACCAAGTCTCTGCAGACAATCAGTGCAAGCTTGGGTGCCTATGACCAAATTTTGCAAGGTTTGAAGTGCCCTACAGGCTACAATGATTGATTAGTGCTTTGGCCAAATTAAATGAGATGACTCTTTGGAGCCTTGTCAATTCAGCCATTGCTCATGAACAACATAAACTGGAGACATCCACAATTTTGTTAGCATGGATTGACTTTCATTGTGGACATCATATGGCCCACTAGCGGATCAAATTCACATAAAACAATCTTTTTTATGTAGGGTCTTGATGCTGGGTGAAAGGGAATAAATTTGCCCTCAAGATAGCTATGAGTTCCCTTGTTTCCTCACCCTCAATCTTTCAAGATCAAAACACAGCTTTTGTCTCTTGTCAATGGTTAATGAATGGAAGACAAAAGTCTGTTTGGGGTTGAAGTTTATCTGCCTCATAAAAAGTAATCCTGCCTCATAAAATTAGTTCACAACTGGTGGCTAGAGCTCTTGAAGCATTAAATCAAGGTTGTTTCTGAATGATATCACAAGGTCCTTAGTGGTTTTGGAATTCTAAACCTCTGGAAGCATCCATAGCAGTAGACACCCTTAGCACAACTGTGATTGCAGCACATCAGATCATATTCAAGAAAGAAATTTGATGGGACAATGTCATGATTTTGCTCCCATTGACACATTGCACCACAAAATCCCTTTGTTTTCATACTTGATGCCTTTTCTTCAATCATGCCGCCTGAGGCCTTGTCTATAGGCTCCCTCAGACAACCATCTGCACAAGCCAGTCTGCACTCCCAACATAGATGACTTGGGTTGAGAAATCCAAGGCATTGTTGGAGGCAAATCCTCAGATAGACTTGGTCTGAGGTTTGTCAGCAAACTGATAAGTGAGCTATGTCAGTATCACAAGTGAGACAACAAAGTGTGACAAAATAATGAGATGAGGAACAGTGGAGCAAGAAAGGTAAGATAGAATTGGTGAGGAAAAGAGAACAACAGTGGTGAGTGAAAGTGTAGTATATATATGTCCGCAATTTAGAATCAATTTCTAGGTCGTGGCCTGACCCACCGCCAACAAGATCTGTCAAATTGAGGTTTTGTTGGGCCGCAACAACATTTTTTGTGTTGCTGCCCAAAAAATCACAATTTGATGTTTTTTTGGAGCTGTTGCGCAACAGTCAAGGCACCACATAATCTGACCTCACCTTTTGTTATTGCGGTACTTACCGCAACACAGTGTCTAATGCTGGTTTTTGTTGTGTGTTGCGGAGCAACACACCAAAAAACACGTGTGTGACGGCGCTGTGCGTTTCTGGCACAGGGTTGGTTTTAAGACTCAAAGAAAGATGCACAAAAGACTGGCGGAGATAGTTGACGCCTTACCTGCGAGTGAGCAGGAGGAAAGAGTGGTAGGGAGGTCTATTGTAACACATGAGCACTCATCCAGGAAGTGAAATATAGAAAGAACAGAAAAAGAGAAGTAAGGAAAAGGTGTGTACTCTAAGCTTCTAAGTTCCACACAATGAGGGGGGGAACAAGGAGCTCGAGAGACCCTGGGTATAAAAGAGAAAGACAACTCGCGCACAATTTTCACCCTGAAGCAAGGGGAGACAAGGATACAGACTAGACACACATACATACTCATTTGGGAGAGCCTACACACACAGTGTTCCAAAAAGGGAAACATTTGATACAAATTGAAGATGCCTTTTTCCACCACATTGGCCTGAATGTGTAGGGTTCGATATCCTAATTGGGATGGACTTGCCTACCTAGGATAATATCATAAAATTCCATCCAAGGGTTGGGATCCAAGGATATCTGGGATTGAGAAATCCAAGGTTAATATGTTGGTGGTGCAGGTTTACCCAAAAATTTTGACAGACTAGCCATATGTCTCTATTAACCCATACATGGGACCCCTTGTTGGCCAGAAAGGGATGTAGATTGTAGGTGGAAGGGCTGTATCACAGAAAGTGTCAAGCTTACCAATTCTGAACATCCACTCCTTGTTGTAAATTCATTGATACCTATTCAAGATGATGACCAACACAAGAATTTGTACTATTTGTTGCCAGACTTGCTGAGTGCATATGTGATATACAACAACCACAGAGAATATCATGTCATTATGTGTGGCAAGGTGTCAGGGTGGCTATAGTTTAAAGCAGGTGAGTATCACTAATTACTCACGTTACAGTCCTGACAAGTATCTTACTGGATCCGTAAGATAATGCACTAGATTATATTCTGTAAAGGAACGAAACCAGTGGTGCGTAAATAAATTGTAAATGGAGATATTTTTGATTTATCAACGGGATTATCCCGGTCCACTGTAGGTTTACAGCTAGGAGGTGGTCAAGCTCTGAACCGGTAGTTCCTTCAAAGGTGAAGTTCCAACAAAGGCGCCTGTGTTACTAGACACAGGGATCCTGTCAACTTCACGTTGCAGAACCAGTGGTACGTGACCAAGGTATAACTACCTCACGAATGAGAGTAGTTCAGGACTTTACAGCAAGAGCTATAATACCACGAGGATATATCGAAGAAGAGCGAAAAAGATGAGAGGAAGAAGTTAAAAATTTAACTTACTAAAGATCTTTTACTAGAGCTTCCGAACGTATGTTTTACTAGGACTCGTAAGAATGCTATAACAGTAGTTAGGTTCTTCTTAATATCTTTATGAGATGAATGCTGCTGTCCAAGTGAGTCCCTTCAGATATCTGGGATAGGACTCTGATATTTATAGCAATGTTGTCTTGTTGGCTGACCTGTGGTTACCATTTTTTCCTTCTGCTCGTATTATGATTATCTAGTGGTTATCTAAGCTACTTGTTCAGTTGTCTTGGGCCGGTTTGTGGTTTAGACGGATCAGGACAGGGAATGAGTACTTCCCTTTTGGGAATCTATGTTTGTTCTTTTGTATTGGTCACTTGGAGATATTTCACGATTTCTTCTAATTTTGAAGGACGTTAGATATCTGGGAAATTTTAGCTTCGTTTCTGACACTTCGACGCAAGGTGTTTGTATTTGTAAATATGTAGGAGATAAAGATTAAAGTGTATTTACATCCTTCTTTGGCATCCAGACTCCAGGTGCTATAAAGGTGTAAATACAACGCTTTTACTGTTAATTCATCTTTGAAACTAGACGCAAGGTGTTTTTACTTATTTTTGTAATTTTATATATATTTTTTATTTGAAGTCCTCTTGGCTTTCGCTCCGCGAAAGCTCGAGGGCTGACACAAGGTCACTGGGCAGCTAGTTGACATCAAGAAAAATAAGGTACTTTTGGTATTGAACACCCAACAAATATCAATGGCTGAATTGATTAATCTAGTGATTTTGAATTGATTGAGGTTTTTTGTCTTGACCAACTTTTGTAATCTGAGCAGGGATTTGTGCAAGAAAGTGCTGAATGTTCATAGTATGTTGTCATAATTACACTTATAGATCCTTTTTTGAACACTCTTGATATGTCAATGATAAGAATTTGTATTTAAGCAATTTGAGAAACACTGTGTCCGTGTAGGGTTTGCTTGTCGGCAAGACCACATCAACTCCCTTTGAGGCAGAAAGGGAAGTTGTGTGCTCTTGACAACAAGCTAACACTACCCGGACACGGTGAGACATCAAGTTTGGACTCCACCAATGCTGTTGGGTTAGGTTGCATATGGAGAACTGAAGTTTCCAGCCCATTATGAACTTGATGTCCATGTGTAGATCTGTTCCATGACTGGGCAAAAACTTTTGGATGACCAGGCAAAAATCTGATAAGCAGTCAAGATATGCACAAAAACTTGTCAAAAACTGCATACTGTAAGTCAAAAAGCCTAATCAAAACCATCTCAAAACATTTTCAAGTTGCCAGGGCAAACTGTCCTGCCAGTGACTAGTAATTGGGGGCTGTGATTGCCCAAAGTATTCTGTATTGGAGTCAATGCAGAGATCTGATGATAAACTCAACCCTGCTCCATTTCTCTTTAATTTCCGTACTCTTTTCATTTTATTCACCTGAACACATGTCCTCATAATATTCAAGACATCATCCATCCAGTCCTGTTTTATGTATTCAGCAGTGATGTCATAGTATAGACCTGACCAGATCAGATTGTTCCCAATTTGTATCAAATCATATTGGATTGTCAACAAATGTTCTTGTTTGTGTTGTACCTTCTTCACTTTAATAGATCCAGGGCTTGATTTTTCTGTTGAATTCTGGTTGTATATGGAATCCATTTTTTTCATTCACAAAGATTGATCTTCTTGCATCTGAGTCTTATATATCTTACCAAAACCTTCACTCTCAGCCAATTGTTACTTTCCAGATTATGGTCCGCCTCCTGGTTCCCAATGGGTCATCCTGAATTTTGCAAACAACACTGGAGCAACTTCTTTTGTTTTGACCTCCAAATGCTGGAAAGTTCCCAAAAGACAGGCACTGCTGTGAATACTTGAAGGTACATGTCAACTTGAAGTCTAATTTATCAGACAGGTGAATGCCACAGATGCCCAAAGGTACGACAGCATCTGTGTAATTCCATGAAAAGGTAACAGAGCACATGGGTAAGATGCTCTCAGTACCGGGGGTAGGAACGGTACCGAGAGCGAATGGGGAAAAGATTTTCCCCCAACGGAAATAAAATTTGTAAAAGATAATTTCACATCTTTAACAAATATATTTCCAGCTACTCAACTCAACAACAAAAATCGAGTACAAGTAAGGTAGAAAGAGTCTCATACATTTCTTCAACACATTTTCTTTTTATTATACTTCGTAAATAAAAGAACAAAGTTTCATACTCCCTAGTAATATCTGAAATCAGAAGAAGTATAGAAAGAAGAAGATGTCTGCACCAGATCTTCCAACAGGACTCGAAAACTTACCACCTCGAGCATCTACTCCAAGTCAATCTGATTCGAATAGACCTCGAACTAGAAAAGGAAAGAAGGTTGAAGCATTGAACACGGTAAATGAAGGTGAAATGAACAATCTGCAAGAAAGAGATGGTTCACAAACGACCAACCAAATGACCTCGACTTCGACCGGTAATCAAGGACCCAATTTACCCGGAGCAGGAGAAGGTACTGGTGGTGATGAAGAGATGCGTCAAGAAGAGGTTGAAGTTGGTGAAGATGAATTACCGAAATCGAGGTCCGTGGGGAACATAACAGGAATTGGTTAGTGATACCAATATTGTTCCGATATATCTCAGTTACTATATATTTCATATCTTGTCGAGAAATCGAATCCCCCAATACCTACCCGAGAATGATCCCCTGTCAATGACGACCTTGGCTAGTATCCAAATAATCTGCTCCCTCTTTATGAATATCTTCTCCGATCATTTCTTCTATTTTGTTACGTCAAGCATACCCCCCCCTTAAATTCTGTCATACCTTCCACAATATCAATCCCAGAGTGGCCTGAAAACGAGAATAATCCCCCCCTTAGAAGAAAGATTTCCCAGAGTGGCCAATTCCTCCCCAGAATGCAAGTGTGGCTGTTATAGATAACCTAGAAAGATCAAATGACATGATCAGAGTAGAAACTAGAAAAGGGAAACATCGAATATCTGATGATTATAGATACGGACCTAGAGATTCTTGATGATATGGAGTGGCCGTTGTTTGATGATATGATAAAATCAAACTGAGGACCAAGGTTAATAGCCGTCCCTGAAAATAGTAAATCTGAACAAGAGAAAGTGTTTTTCTGTTTAGAAATTACACCTCCAACAAAGATGAAATAAAACGTGTTTATAAAATTGATTTCCAAAAAAAAAAAAAAAAAAAAAGTTGATGTAGTCGAAAACGTGAATGCTTACGATTGTGGCTGTTGTTTGGGTTTTGTTTTTATTGAATGACTTAGGACCTGATATCGAGATTATGGCCGAACCGGTTCAGATTGAACACGGACATGCGAAGTGGCTATTTAATATTAACGAAGCTCTGAACCGTGATATGATGTAAGAATGTGATCTTGTCATAGTTGAAGTTTTGATACAAACCCTGACCGACAAAATGTTTGATTAGCAATCAATACAGAGTGTTTAAAGAAGAGTACCAAATCTGGTGTGAAAAAGAGGGTACCGAACCGAGAGATCTAGGCTTGATGAACTTCACCTTTAAGGAAAAGAAGAAGGAATCAGAAAATCAGACCGAGACGACAAAAGACAAGTCTAAGACAAAGATTGAAACAAACACCAAAATGATAATCGGAAGTTTACCGACAAATGACATGACAGGTCTATCCCAATATTTCCATGATATCATGATAAATAAAAATATTCACATGTCCGTTTCAATTTTTGATCCTACTTGGATTTTGCAAGATGCTCTATTCATGAAAACCCGATCTACTAAGACAAGCTGTTCGACGAATGTTATATCATATGTTGGGTTACCTTACGTAAATGAATACCGCCTTACATCAAATGAATGGTCAACAAGATTCAATTTAATGGTAAAATATCAAGCCGAAAAATATGATATTTTAGACTCTCAAAAAGACTCACCGATTGCACCTAGATTACGTTTGCACAAAGAGAACGTATTACAAATCCAAGTTAAAAATTACGGGAAATGGACCCCGGCTATGAGATACGACATAGCGCACCGTCGTAACGTTTGGGAGAATAGATTACCTGACGGATCAATGGCGGACGTAGGTACCTTGAACGTAGAGTTAGCGGAGAGAGCTAAGGAAGATGCGAAACATTTTAACGACTACAACTATGTTGACAACCCCTATGCATTTGGAAACGTCATGCAAAACATCAGTCCTTTGAATGGGGAAACTTACCCTCAGCACGCCTCATGGGACTCGAATCATGCTCTTATCGACACACAGGCAGAGATGCTGACAGGCAGGAACTTATCAGTATCTAATAACCAACCAGTCAATCCAGTAGTTGGTAGTAATTTATCAGTGCTTGCAAATGGAAAAGCGGTGAAATACAAAGGTACTAAGTTTAACCCTTTCTACTCACGACCTGTGCCTCAAGTGAACAATCCTTACGGGAATGCGCACGACTATTCAAATAACGGATATGTTAGTCAACCCTACTATAACTCGTCACCATTCTATCATAATCAACACACCTTCATGCCAAATGTTGGGAGTAATAGAGGTGGTAGTGGTAATCGAGGTGGGATGAGAGGTGGTAATCATAGAGGAGGTAGGGGTGCTGTTACGGGAAGAGGAGGAAATTTGTGTCCTTCAATCGGACCAGGTAGCTTCGATAAGTCGATAGGAGCAAGTGGGAGTAAAAATGCGGAAGGAAGTGGAAATAGTAATTCAGCTTCAGGATCAATGTGAGTAGGAGGGTACTTCGGTGTTGAGATGATGGAATATGTGTTCTGCGTACTCTTTTATTTTCTCCTTCCTCCCCTCCCCCCACCGCTATCGTAAAATACTTGTTCCTGTCAGATCTGACAATGTCTAGTTGTTCGTATGACACATTGTATACTTGTGTTTCGTGATGCTCCAAATGCAGTTAAACCAATTTATCTTCATGTTCCTGAGATGATGTTTATTAGTTACGATACTGATTGTGGTATTTCATACACCTTTACGTTGTCTGTTGGTTATGATTTGATAATTTTAGACATTATGCGAAATCAACAAAAGTTGTACAAGATAACCTGCCCATCAAAGGACTTGAGAATGCGGAAACTGATGAGAATTATGAAGTAGACAACCCAGACTCACTATTGAGTTGGCCAGTTGAACCGAAATGTGAAATGCATCTCGAAGAATGGCGGCTGCTGTTAGAGGACTGTGGTTTAACTGAAAAATGGAAAAAAGTGTGGTTGGGTCTGGTGAAAGGCTTCGACCAAGGTATTCCACCCCATATTTGGAATGAAAATAGATGGTTTACACCAGACAATCACAAGTCAGCATTGGCAGTTAAAGATAAGATCATGAAAAATTTATATAAGGAAAGGAAGATGGGGAGGATTTACGGACCATTCACTCACGAAGAAGTATACAACAGGTTTGGCTTCTTCAGGTCGAATCCGATGGGGAGCGTGACGAATAATGATGGGTCGTTGCGAATGATAAACGACCTATCATATCCGAGAAATAAAAATATACCATCCAAGAAAAGAAAGGTTAATGAAACAGGTAGTCAAGAGTCAGAATTGGAGGAAGAAGATGTAGACATACAGATAGATTCGGCAACTAGATGGATTAAATCAGCAGTGTATGAAGAACCAGGAGAAGATATTCCTTCAGTTAATTCGTTTGTAGATAAGAGGGACTTCGAAACATCCTGGGACGATTTCAATAAGGTAGCCAGAGATTTCATAATAAATATAGGAAACAAATTATTATTAGCAATTGTTGATTGGAAAAAGGCTTACAGGCAGGGGTCAACTCCAGTTGAACAGTGGAGGTACTTAACTATTAAGGATTTTAATGGAAACATCTGGGTAGACACTCGGATTCTGTTTGGTGGTGTGGCTGGTTGTGGAACGTTCGGATGGTTAGCAGATGCATGGCGAGATATCATAAAGTCGGTCCTGAATGTGAAAGAAGTGTTTAGATGGGTTGATGACAATATGTTCGTAAAAGTGGAAGGTGACTTACTAAACATGAAGGATGTAATCCAAGTTAGTAATGGATTAGGAGTTCAATCAAATGATGAGAAGTTTGCAGATTGGGACGTCGAGCAGAAATATCTGGGTTTTATTTGGAATGGAGATGAAAAATCAGTATGATTGCCACAAGAGAAGATGTTGGAACGAATAGAGAAATTGAAATGCTTACTTTCACCATTGAGGAAATGCTCCAAGAAGGAGGTAGAAAAGATCGTAGGTCAACTGAGTCATATGGTGTATATTTTGCCGATGATGAAATGCTACCTTTGGAACCTTTATTGGTGGGACAAGTCGTGGTATAACAAGAGTGCTTTGAGGGAGGTACCGGAAGGGGCAAAAGAAGAGTTGCGGGAATGGTTGAAAAGCTTAGAGAATTTTGACAGGTTAAGGTTTAAAGCAGATGTGGAGCCGAAGGAGATCGGATGGGTGGGCGACGCTAGCACGAGTTATGGTCTGGGAGTGTTGATCGGGGTCAATTGGTCGAGTTTCACACTAGTCGAGAATTGGAGAACTGTAGGCATTTCACAAGGGTGTCAGAAACGTGATATTGCCTGGATTGAAACTGTAGCAGTGAGAATCGGCTTATTGATGATCGAACAATTAATGCCATCGAAAAATCAAAACTTCGTTGTCTACACCGATAATACGACAACTGAAGCAGTCATCACAAAATCAAAGTCAAAACATTGTCTGGTAAACGAAGAGTGGAAGCAGATACAAAAAGTACTTACCCGTCTTGATTGTTCGATTTTGGCGCGGAGAGTGGCCTCTGGAGATAACAAAGCGGACGAACTATCAAGGGGTCAGCGAGTGGAAAAAGATTACTCGAAAGAAGTCAGACTAAATCTACCGAGAGACCTCGTAACGCTGTTGGTGCGAGATTAAGTGAGAATGATAAACGAGTCGAAAGTAAAGAAGTTTTTGCAAAATAGAAGAGGGTGAGTTCGAGTGTTTTTCGTCTGTATGGTGTTTGTCATGATCAGGTTTCATTTTAGAAGTGTTGGCCAAAAGGTTGATTTTCTTTATTGTTATGATTGGTCATGTATAATTGATTATAGGGTAATCGATTGGAGAGAGAGTAAAATCAAAACGAAGTTGTTGAGAGGGAGTTGGACGCAAACGACACTACAAAACTATAGCACAGCAATGTCAAAATTAGAGAGTTTTGGAAACTCGGAAGGTTTGAGAAGAGAAGAGTTGTTACCATTGAACCAAGATCGATTGTGGAAATTTATAGTATGGGGTGGAAGAGAATATAACATCAATCTGGATGATGAAGATGGGTCAAGAATTTTAAATGATGAACATAAGGTGACAGCAACTACACTGATTAAGTACATAACTGGAATACGTTCGTGGCACTTGTTCCACGGTGAGCCCTTTCCGGTGGAGAATGACAAGACCTCGAAGTTACTCCTAAAAGCTGCAAGTATGGCCGACGCGAAGTGTAGAGAAGATCAGAAGGTAGTCAGGCAGCCAGTGCAGTTAAGACATCTGGCGGAACTAGTGATTGGATTAGATAAAGGAAGTAAACGGGATCACTTGGCCTTAGCAGTAGCCTTGATTGCCTTCTGGGGTATGGCGCGATTAGGTGAATTAGTATCGGATGAGAAGACGAAGGCTCTGATTCTAAGGAGGGACTTGATTTACGCACCTGATCACTCTTATTTCAAGTTGGCCCTGCACGACGCCAAAACGGCGAAACCTGGGGAACTACAATACCTACATGTCAAACGGATTCCGTCGTTTTTATGTCCAGTTAGAGCGATTGAGAGGGTTTTTAGAGAAAATCCGGGGCTCGGGTTGTCGGAAAGGCTGTTGTCGTATACGGATGAGAAAGGCAAGCTGATGACTTTGACGAAGACAACTACGTTGAACATATTTAAACGTATATGGTCAATGAAAGACAAAAACCATCAACTGTCAGGTCATTCCTTTAGGATAGGAGGTGCAACGCTCAAGTGGAACGAGAACCTCCCATTGGAAGATATTGTACGGTCAGGGCGTTGGGAGTCTAAATCCTACCAGTTATACCTGAGAAAGTATACAGAAGGCAACATTGAGGATGCTAAGTTGATTTGGGAATGGATGAAGATAAGAGAAGAAGATAGAAAGGAAGAAAACGGAAGGGAATCGGTGAAAGAACAAGAAGTTTGAAACGAACCTATGCAAGTGTTGTGGTTGAAGTAATTTCACGTTGTGTAGTGTAGTCATAGAAAGAGCATTTGAAATAGCGAAAGTCTAACGACGATTACAAAAAAAAAAAAAAAAGCTAATTGAAGAGTGGGGATTAAAGCGAGGTATAGGGGCAGGCAAGCCTTGGGACCTACCGAGATAGGCTCTCCGCAGGCTCCGGACGATATGTCCCGAGAGTAGGTAGCAGAGAGCCTACCCCGTCAGATACCAGCGGCCTACCGGCCCCCCCCACACACGCGTTAAGACTTAATTAATTAAGTCTTAAAGCTCATGGTATTTGATTACGGTAGCATTGTTTAGAGTAGAGTTTAAATATGAAAAAACATGAAACAGAAAAGACACGAAAAAGTCTTAAAGTTTTAGAAAAATAAAAATGAAAATGAAAACATGCAAATAGGAAATGTGAGACTCCTATTAATGGAAGAGTCAAGAGAGAGACTCATGGCTTGTACAGGTACTACAGGGTACTACACAAGTTTGATACTTGGTGTTCCAGTCAGAAAATTTTGGCTGGGGACTTTTCCAACTTGCCATACCTGTGACCTCCTCAGCATCTTGATGACTAACTAAAAAAACTCTTTCCCTTCTTATCATAAACAAATAAATGTAACCTGCTTCTTATTCAATCCAACGACTTCATAGCAATGAAAGGGTTTTGAAAACACTACACCTTCTGAGAAAGCAATCCAAGCTGAATTTTGGTGCTTGTCCATTCCAACGAAGCAACTTGAAGGTCAGCTGTAGGATATGGTTTTTCTCGGCCAAAAGATTGTTAAATCAGACATGAAGTTTTGGTTCTGTATAGGGGCATTCTCAAACTACGTCATTACAAGCAGAAATGTCGTAACTCGAAGTTTATCCCAGGTGAATTATGAAGCTTCTTGAAAGGAAGCAATTGTCGACAAAAAAACAACACGTTCCAGCTTTTTGCACAATGCTTGTACGCGATATGGGAAGCCCGTGAGAGTTATAGTTTTTTTGATACTTGCAATAGTAGCTTTGCTCACATGAAAGGCGTGAATTATGTTGAGATAAATCCCTATTCAGTTTCGTGCATTCAAGAACATCGTAAAACAGAAACTTGAGACAACAACAATTTAGCCTGCCCTCACTCGTTTTCATCGGGAAGATTTGCTAAGATAACATTGATACTCAGCCCACATTCTCATGAGGTACAACTATCTGTTCCTCTCTAAGCGTCAGGAAAAGGTCCTTTGTGAATGTCATAAAGTCTTTGGGAGGTCTTGGATTTGATCCGCCGTAGCGGTAGACGCTTCCAAGGCTTCCAACGCATCCGTCGCCGATGGACGACGGGCGAGTAAGATCTCGCTCCCAATGGCATCACATCATCAGCTCCTTCTCGGTCTATATCCCTTTTATTCGAGCATACATAACAACAGCATGAGGCCAATGGTGTACATAGTCGACTGCCTACACCTTGATGTTGGCGTCAGCCGTGCCTCGAAACGTTCCAAGTCAACCGGTACTACCACGTGAAAGACCACTGAGGGGTGAAGTAACCATACGCACAAGCCCTCTCTGCGCGGCCACGTCCGCGCGCCTCGCGTGTTAAGCTTACCATAGGATTGTCATTAGTTGTTGCTTCGGTGAGAAGGCGTGTGGTTTGATGTGAAAATGGATCGATTCATAGCCAATTATCAAATTTGATGAAACCGGCCTTTTCATATTCTCAGCCAATCGAATAAAGATCTTCACCATTGTCTTTTCCTCTCACCCGATCTCGAATTTCTTCATGACCGCTTGCCCTTCTTCCAATGATAAGTTTATAAATATCTCATCTTCTGGAAACTCGGTATGAATAGTAATTGTTCTGTACTACATTGATTAATCATTAACTTTAAGTGACTGTGTCATTACGCATTGCAGATATATTGAAGCAAGCTCCCTCAATCGACCTCTTCACCACCGGGCAACATCTTTTTGCGAAAGGTTCGACACGACTCTGATCACCATATCCCGTGGCGTTACCTCGCATCCGTTTACCAGCTCATCATAACAAAACGAGAACCTCTTTGCGATGCCCAAAGGACTTGACTCGTTGCCAGCAAGAGCTCTGACCTGGACGGAGACCCTCGATGCGCGCTATAAGCAGGTATTTACCCTCGCTTTATCACCCTCCCTCACCACATCAAGCTACACCGACATATCCCAGATTCCACTCTCATTGGGAACCATCCATTTCTTACCTGCGCCACACCACCTTTGTCCTTTGATTTGATTTGATTTGATTTATCGTTTTTTCTAGGCAGCTCCGTCCCTGCTCATCACGGCATTCGCATCGGTGGGTGTGATTTATGGTGACATAGGGTTTGTATTTATGAGATATCTTCATCCTCCATACAAGCAACCCAAGTTGATCAGGTGTTATCTTTGCTTGATAAAAATCAGCACAAGTCCGTTGTATGTGCTGAATGGTAAGCCAACATCAACTGATCTTTCTCTCCATCAAGCAACTTTCACTGCAATCCGATAATGACCGATTTTTATCTTCTTAGGTATTTTCCCCCCAGAGGGGCCCGCACCAAGTGCCGAAGACGCGCTTGGAGCAATTAGCGCGTGAGTCTTGAGATCACCTTGTTACAATATCAATCACCGCCCAACTTTCTCATATGTTTTTATCCACATAGAATTCTTTGGGCCTTGACAATTGTCCCACTGATCAAGTACAGTCTGATTGCTCTAGAGGTACGCTTAGCCATCAACCCCCTGTGACAAATTCTGGACAAAACATGACATGGTTTTTGATCTCTTTGATTCACCTCATCTCTCTATCAAAAATTAGTTTGGGTAAGCTCGCCTTCATGTCTCAACTTAATCCACCATTTCTTGTGTATTCACGTTATTCACGTTTCTGTTTCCTGACATAGAACCGGAGAAGGAGAAGGAGGTCCCTTTGCCTTATTCTCACAAATGTATCCACCTGAGTGCGTAACCTTGAACCACATCTTCCAACATAAATGCACTGATCTCATGATTTTCGGGGTGATATTCATTTCGTCTACAGGAAACCTGGTGCGGAATTAGCTTTGCCTTCCATAACGTCAATTGTGCATCTCCCATCGGGAGCTACACCCTTTCTCAGCCGACGATTTGTAAAACCCATCATGAGAGTCATCGTAAGTATTCGGTTACATGTGTTTCAGTACCAACTCCAAGTCACGCCTAACAAAAAAAAACGGTATCTACTTTGTAGACACTCTTTGCGGTCGCTTTGATCATCAGTGATGGTCTGTAAATATTCTCCGTCCATTGTCTTTTCTTTCATGATCAGCCAGCGTTCTGATACATTCTATATAAACTTTAGGTATCCTGACACCTGCCGTCTCAGTCTCTAGCGCTGTGTCCGGAATATCGATTCCAGCGCCATCATTTTCTTCTAAGGACATCGAACTCGTCTCTATCGCAATTCTCGTACTCATATTTCTTTCACAGAGTTATGGTACCAACAAACTTGGAATGTCTTTTGCACCCATCGTCACTGTTTGGCTCTTGTTACTCTCATCCATAGGAATTTACAATATCACCAAACACCCTGCGATCTTCAGAGCATTCGACCCGAGTCGTGCTATTCTCTACTTTGTTCGTGTCAAAGATCTTACACCTCTCAGTGGTGTTTTGTTGGCCATAACTGGGGTCGAGGCTCTCTTTGCCAAGTGAGCAGACTTTCCCTGACTTCAACCGTGGAGATCATTCATGCTGACCTGAGGATAATTTCTTAGTCTCGGCCAATTTTCCAAAGGAGCTATCCGTTTAAGCTTCCTGGCTTGGATTTATCCTGCGTTGATTCTAGCCTACCTTGGTCAAGGTGCTCAGCTGATCACAAATGGAGATCATGTGATCACCAACATTTTTTATCAGTCTATTCCTGGCGGAAGTGGTGGTGGACTTTGGTGGATTGTCTGGGTATTTGGAATGCTAGCAACCATTGTTGCCTCTCAAGCAATGATTACAGGTTGGTCTATCTTTAGCTTTGCTTACCTTTTGCTTATCTATTGACACTATGACTTCTTTGCAGCTTCTTTTTCATTAATTCAACAAATGGTCGGCTTGAAAGCTTTCCCTCCTGTCGCCATCATTCACACCAGCAAAACCTCACAGGGCCAAATATATGCACCAAGTGTCAATTTCATCCTTCTTATCGGTACCGTTGGTGTGACCGCTGGATTTGGAAGTAACTCGTCACTAACTTCGGCCTGTGAGTTCATACCTGTAATTCTTGCCAATCAATCTATCAGTTCTGATTTAAGACAACACAGATGGGTTTGCCGTGGCTGGGGTCCTCATCTCGACCACATTCTTGATGACAATGGTGATGGTTCGTTCATGTTCTCTCGCTTGGTTTTTTGTCTTGTTCACTGATCTAGTATACTATTTCTCCTCAGGTTCACGTCAAGGGAGTGAATTTATGGGTGGCCATCTTGTTTTTCGTAGTCACCGGGTTCGTGGATGCCATGTTTTTTGCATCCACAATACAAAAGATCCCACACGGTGCTTGGTTCACTCTCACCATTGGATGTTTGATTGGGATTTTCTTACTTTTCTGGACTTGGGCCAAAGAATTAGAGGATCTGTTCGATGCACGAAACCGGGTCCGCTTGAGTCAACTTTTGATCCATCGCCTGCCTCATTTGCCTTCCAATCCATCCAAGGAAAACGACTCGCTTAGCTCTGGCGAGAAGGAAATCATCAATGAATCAGATCCTGTGAATCATCCCGTCAATCAAAATGAAATTAATACACTCAAAGCTCGTCTTGCAATTGTCAAAGATACTTCTATGCCAATGATTTCAGATTTAGCCCTTCACGAAGAACCTGAAGAAATTGAAGAAGTTGATGAAAAATTACACGATATAATTGAACAAGATCCTGGTACCTTGCGTGGAAGCATCTTAACTACAAGCCGCCGCTACGATAGTCCAACACCTCAAAGTGAAAATCCACATAGCCCAACTCAGCAAAGCTTACTTGAAGCTCCAAGAAATTCATCATCCAGAGATCCATCGCCAGGTGCTGCTCAAAAGGTTACCATAACAGAACCAGCTGAACGAAAAACTTCGATCAACACTGCAAATTACCCACCAATCCAATCTGTAAATGCTACATCTCAACAGGATCTTACCGGCCCATACAGCTCGATTCCGAATGCACAACATCGTCAGGCATCACAAGTCAGTAGCTTGCTCGGTAGTGAAGCAGGTGGACTAGAGAGCCTGACCTTGAATCCGGAGTTTTATGAAGGAAGAAGACTAACTGATCCATTACCAAGACTAGAATGTTTTTCATTCTTTCATCATCACGGTAGAGGGATCGGAGCTCCCCATGCGTTTACTTCACTACTTAAACATCAACCAGCTTTACCTAGAGTCATTGTTTTTCTTTCTATCAGAGTTGTTGGCGTACCTCACCTACAGGAAGAGGACAAGTATCTGATAGATAAGCTTCGTAGTCTTGAAGGTATGGATTCAGATGATTTCCAATAGCTTTTCTAATAACTAATCCGATCCGTGTACTTTTTTTTGTCAAATCAATTGCAGGCTTCTATCTTATGAGTGCGTCTTTTTAGTCTTTTTTATTTCATTCAGAAGCATCATTAATTTTGTTTCATTCCTCATTCCTCATTCTTAGCTCTGAGACTTGGCTACAAAGACGATCTCGATCTACGTGATCTGACCGGACCGACCTTACAAAGAATCGTAGCCATGGAACGAGGCACAAACATGCCTGGTCACAACTTTTCAATCGAGTCACGTATCTCACAATTCGTAAAGGCTTCGGAAAACACTAATCATATGTTAGTTTTTTCCATAAGACTCTTGAGATGTATTGATTTATGAAACTGATCCTTTCACTTTTGGTTTTCCAAACAAAAGACTTCCTCATTACCATTGTACCTCTAAGCAAATCGATGCAACAAAGAACCCATTCAAACGAGCCAGAAATGCTATTCGAGGGTTTCTATTGGAGGAAGTATACCGTAGAGTGTAAGTTGATTTGTTTAGTTTCACATTCTGCTAAAGACAGTTGATTGATGTTGAAAAAAATCATACGTTTTCTTGCCACTATTATGAACAGATCTCAAAACTTTCCTGAGACTTCGAATTACATTATTGATGATTCCAAAGTATTACGTATCGGAGTCAATGCTGAGATCTAATAATATTCAACTACACTTTTCTCTAGAATGATCAAGACGCAAATGACCAAAATTTCATTGAAAGATTTTAGGATGTGTGTTTAACAGTGTTGTTATGTAAAATTTGTATATCTGGCAGGAACAGATTTTTGTAATATTAATATTGATGATGTGAAGATGATCTTATCGTGCTGATACAGTAGGACAGAGGTTACTTATATCCTATCTCAATCCCAAGGTAGTGACTCAATTGCAGCTTGTAAAACCAGCAAAGTCTGTATTGAGAGCCTTCAGAACGCTGCTAAGGTGGGTCTTCAAGAGGCTATGAGTTGACAAGAAAAATTCAATCTCGAAACGTTTACCTTCACAATTTTTCCCGGAGCTCTGTGTATACATACTCCATTGAATGCTATCAAATCACACAAGATGTTTAAGTAAATTTCAAGTAAATAAAGAGATCACTATGACCTCATGCTTTTTAAAAAGAAAAAGAAAAAAAATCTTGCCCATACAACTTTTATATATATGTAGTATGATTAAGTTATAATACACATCATCAAAAGTGATATGTCAATACTACCCGCCTTTTTTTCGATTTTCCTTTAAATCGGTTTCTCGAAATATATTTATTTGGTTTGACTTTCAGGACCCAACATTAGTTCTGGACGAACGATCTCATCAAACTCTTCTTCACTTAAAAGTTTAAGTGAAACAGTAGCCGATTTAAGTGTAGTTCCTTCTTTATGTGCTTTCTTTGCACATTTCGCCACATCTAAAAAAAATCACTTAGAAACTCAAAGTTGGGCGATCTAGAATCATTCAAAAAAACACTACAATACGTACTATCATATCCTAATCGACTATTCAGAATAGTAGCTAACATTAATGATTCATTAAGTAATTGATGAATCCTTTCTTTATTCGGTTCGATTCCAATCACACAATTCTTTTCAAAAGATTTCATTCCATCTGCTAAAAGTCTAATAGATTGAAGTAGATTGGAAATCAAGACAGGTTTAAAGACGTTTAACTAATGATCCCATCAAACATTTTCGTCAATATAGACTTGATCGTTTCTCAGTATTAGTGAAACTTCTTATGAAAGAATGTTGAAAAGTTACGAACCTCAAAATGTCCATTCGAACCAGCAATAGAGATAGTAGAATGATTACCCATGACTTGTGCAGCAACCATGGTCAACTAATCCATGCATCCACTCAATCAGTAAATCCTCAACCAAAACTGCCTAGTAGGTTGATCACTTCCACCACTCACCGCTTCACATTGAGTAGGATTCACTTTTCCCGGCATGATTGAACTTCCAGGTTCGTTCTCAGGTAAAGATAATTCACCTAATCCACAACGAGGTCCAGATCCCAAGAATCGAATATCATTTGCAATCTTCATCAAACTGACAGCCAATACGTTCATAGCACCTGATGCTTCTACTACTGTATCATTACATGCTAAGGCTTCAAACTTATTGGTCGATGTCACAAATTCAAGTCCAGTTTGTTTAGCAATCTCTGCAGCAATAGCTCGATCAAATCCAAGTGGAGTGTTTAATCCCTGAAAAAAAAAGTAAGTTATGAGCCATTAGATAATCCTTGATATGAAAGAGATAAGTCTCCAAAAAGCAGGACTGAAAACAAAACTCACTGTTCCAACTGCCGTACCACCTTGAGCCAACATAGAGAGTCTAGGAAGAACAGCTCGAATACGATCCAAGTTATGAATCAATTGTTGTTCGTAACCCGAAAACTCTTGACCAAGCGTAAGTGGCGTAGCATCTTGTAAATGAGTTCGACCAATCTTAATGATCTCCTTAAACGCTTCACGTTTGGCTGCGATAGCTGAGATCAAAGATTCTAGTGAAGGGATCAAGTGACGTTTGATTTGAAGAACTGCTGCTACATGCATAGCAGTAGGAAACCTGAAGAGTGGGTTGAAAGGATCGGATCAAACAAATCAGATCACATCATGATGGCAAATGAATCGAGACGGAGAGTGGACAAACGTGTCATTGGAAGATTGAGACATGTTAACATGGTCATTTGGATGAACAGGCTTTTTGCTTCCGAGTTCACCACCCAAGATCTCAATAGCTCGATTCGAGATGACCTATAAACCATAATTGAGAACATTGGTATATGATCCTCAATGGTTTCACTCTAGTTCACTCACCTCGTTCACATTCATATTAGTCTGAGTACCAGAACCAGTTTGAAAGACGACCAAAGGAAAATGATCCTTTAACTTACCACTGATAACCTACAAAATAAATCATCAATTAATAATCACTTCATATCGAAGAATTGATGGATGGAAAGAAAGAAACCAACCTCATCTGCTGCTTGACAAATTGCTTCTCCAACCTTTGGATCCAAACCATGAGAAGCATTAACGATAGCAGCTGATTTTTTTATATAACCAAATGCTTCAATTAAAGCTTGAGGCATCCGAGCTTGATCACCACCGATATCGAAATTCTGTAATGAACTAAATGGAAAATGAAAAAAAGGTGAGCATATTCTACAAATTGTTCCTGATGATGATGAGATCTTGAAGGATTACCGTTGAGTTTGAGCACCATAGTATTTGGTTGAAGGTACTTTTAATTCACCAAATGTATCGAATTCAGATCTATAAGACTGATGAAGTAAAGAAGAAGACATCATTAAAGGAGTTGAGTTTTAGTGAATCGGTTTCCTAAACCCCCAAAAACCAAAAACCACTCAATTTAAATGTGAATCCCTAATCAATCAATCAATCAATCAATCTAATGAATTTGGAAAATACTAGCTTACCTTATCTTTACTCTAAATAACTTCATTTCTAAAAAGAAATTGAAACATTTACACACCTCTTCTTCACATATCTTACTACTTGAAATCCATCTCTCAGTTCGACTATATCCTATCGAACTTCTAAGCCTTAAACTGTCTCTTCCAATCAACTACATATCATCAATTCCTTCATCAGTATCTTTCTTAATCTTCATTTCTTTTATTATGGATTTACTTTTAATCCTGATTGACTTGATCGAATCATCTTCATTCCGTTCATCTTTAGATCTTACTTTTCGAATCTGGATCATATATTAAACAAAATTAGTTCATCTATTATTCTTATTAAATCCTATGATTTGAGATTGCAGGATATTCCTTTACATACCACAATTTCTTTTGGATAATCTTTTTGTGGTGTTCTTCAAATATTCTATGTGTATGGATCGGGTTCGATCATAACACAGTTTGAAGATTTCCGAAATTGCCCGTTCCGAAAGGTGATACTGTGAACGGTACAGTACCGATCCATGTGAGTTCATCCCGAAAGTTTCCGTGGATTTATTGGTTCTCACGGGATATGTAGGTCGGATAGTCTGAGCGGTTGAGAGTTCTTTGATGAGGGTTTGCATGATTCATTCCTTGAGTTTCTGTGCATGTACTCAGATTTATTGGATTCTCTTCTTCCTTTTGTTCTGTCAATGTCATGGATCTATGTAAAGGGTCATGAATTCTTTGCTTGACATGAGTTGTGGTGTAGACAGCTTTAGAAAACTTGACTTCTTTTTGTGATCTCTGCTCATAGTAAATCTTGGTACTGAGAGCAAATTATGAATAAGTTTGAGTCAAAAACCAGATACATATATAACCAGAGGTGTTTAGATAGTGCTACAAATCCTTGTAAAATTTTCTTGATTGAAGTCCAAGTGATCTGATGGATCCAAGATGTGTTTGATTGATGTTTAGAAGTCTAGAGACTGTTGCCTGATTGATTACTACTTGAGAGACTTCCACGTGTATTGGTGATGTTGAAATTCAAAGTAAAGTGAATTGAATTGATTCGAATTACAAATTAAATTGTTAAATCGATCAGATTTTGAATTTAATTTTCAAGTCTTCAACAGTTCTTCAACACTTTAAGCTGTCTTTTACAAATCAAAACCACATCCATTCATCAAATCAAAAATCAAAAACCATGTCAACTCCAATCCCAATGCCAGCTCCTCTTCCTTACACCAATCCAATCATCACTTCTAATCAACAACATCAACAACAACACCATCAACATCATCATCAAACTCAATCTATTCATTCTCAAATCAGTCCAACTAATAATCTAATGGGTAACGCTGCTGAAACTAGTTCGATGTCACCATCAAACGTTTCAACCCATTCTTCATTTCCTCCTCCTTCTTCTACTGCTGCTACGTCTCCTTCTTCGACCTTTATTGTAAATCATCAACCGGGCTCTGCTTTCAATCAAGCCTCTAGTACTCCTGCTGCTTTGGTTCATAATCCTAATTCGGTGACTCGGATCTTACAACTTACTGAGTTTAGTAAAGATTTAAAAACTCGTGATATTCAACTTGTCTTTGCTGATTGGGAAGATGATCGTGGTGGGTTTAAGATCAAATGGGTCGATGATACTTCTTGTCTCGTCGTCTTTGCTGATCCTGGTGTAGGTAAGTTCTTCCTAAATCCTCTATTTTTCTTTTTTTTTCTATCCCATCTCCGTTTTTTTCTTGGTTAATGCTAACTCTCATTCTCATCTCTTGACATTTTAGCCAAGCGAGCGTTCTTGAGCGTTCTTTCTAATCCTCCACCTGCATTAACAAACTCACAACTTCTGGGTCAAAAGGCAGCCAAGTTAAGAGCCTATAATGGTCCAGACGTAGTTCATATCCTTAGTTCGGTTCAAAACCGACCTCGATCAAGATCCAATGCATCTCAATCCTTACATTCTCGTGCTTCATCTATGGCTTCTGTGAATGGTGGTGGTGGGAATGGTGGACTAGGTCGACGTCCAAGTATGGGAGCTCTTGCGGCTCGTAATCGAGCTTCGATCTCTGGTACTTCTGGTCGTGCTCCTCCGCCTCAGGCTAATCCGATCGTTCAAGCTCAGGTTCAAGAATTGATTGATCATGTTACTACGGCTCATACGGTGGGTGGAACGAATTCGAACAGACCACCTTCTTCTGAGGGTGAGTTGAGTAATCTCAATCCTCCTACTTCTGTACGTGCGAGGATTGAAGATGCTGGTAAACGGTTTATTGCTGCTGGACTTGGAAAACCTTCATCATCGATCCCTGGACTTGATGGTTTGTTCAACTTCTTCTAACTTCCATTCACCCGTTTGGGTTTCATGAACTGATGATTTTTTTTCTTAGACGGTCTCACTGCTGCAGGTTACAGTCTTGCGAATTTAACGATTGAAGAAGAAGTGACCACTCCTACTACTGCCACTCATTAAATCCTACACCTTATCCTGGTCATCGTCCCTTTTTTTTCTGGAGTGGTCATACAGAAGAAGTGATTCATCAAAAGCAGAACTCAAAAAACAACCTTTAACACAAACACGCACATTCTTTTCCCATTCATATTGTGAAAAGAATCATGAGTCTTTTTTGTTTCCTTTTCTTTCTTTTTTTTCTACAAAAGCAACCCTCATTTTCCACCCCCAAGAAAAAATTATTGAATGTCTTATTATTCTTGAGATTGAAAGATTTTTTTTTGATTATGGGTATGGGTATGGTACAGATTAGTTTAGATTGATGGGTTTTTTTTGGTTTGGTTTGGTTTGGTTTGAAGGATTTTCGATTTTTGATATGTTTTGAAGGATGTTTTTTTCGAGTGATTGATTTTTCTTTTTATTTTCAATAAACCTATCCTTTACTTTTTTTTGAACCAGATAGTCCTTTTTCAAAGTTTCTTTTTGTGTGTGTATGTGTGATGTGAAATAAATTGTTTTTTTCTTTATTGTTGGGGAGAAAGTAGTAATAGAGATGTTTGAAAAACAAAGTAATTGGGAAATGTTGGTTTAGGTTTGGATGAAATGAAATTTTGAGGAATGGATAAAATCATAAGGAATGGGAAGGTAGAGAAATGGGGTTATGGACTTATTAGGTCAGGTGAAAGAAATTATGGAAAACTGTCACAAAGGTAGTGTTTGCCAGACACAATTCAACAGGTTTCTGTCTCTGGTTTCTTATTCTAGAGCGGCGAGCCCAGTTACATAGGATTGGACAACTGAAGTAAATTTGAAGCATAAAAGAACTGTCATAATGGTACTTAGTAGTGTCTGGCAAAAATCTGTAACCAAGATTAAATAGTTTGATGTCTCTGGTGTGTTATTTCAGAAGAACCTAGTTATATGGGAGTGAACAGTTGGTGGACTGGTCAAATTGTTTAACTTCAGACTACTTGTTCTTTGGACAAGTTCTTTGGTCTATAAGATCCTGTAAAAAAGTATAAATGTGTGCAGATCTTGTAATTTGAAGTACAGACTGGCAAGAAAAGGAGAACAGTTTGGGTGAGTCTACAATCTTGGGTAGTTTCATCAATTAAGTTTTTATTTGAATAAGGAGATGTTGTCCTGCTGTAACCTTGGGGGTATTTTGGCTTGATCTTATTGCACCTTGGTTGTCATTAAAACAAGCAAAATTAGTAGGACTTGGTCTTATTTATTTGGAGAGATCATTAGCTAACTCAGCTACCAGAAGTAACCCTAAGAGCTCCATTCATGATCAGAGAAATCATTGTTGAGATTTGTGGATTGTGCTAGGCTTATAGTCTTTGAGACCCCTTCTGCATCCCCACCTTCTTGAGTAACTGAGCCATTGGTAAAAATGATAATTACATTGCTGTCTTGTTCTTCTTCTTCAATTTGTTGGGGTATGATTCTTTGTGCTTCTTATTTTTTGAGCTCTAGATTTTGGGTTTTACCTGTGCATTTTACCTGTGGCACAATTGGATGAGCATAGATAGTTTCAATGTCTTTTTGGGCTAGTTTTTTTAATTACTTGTAGTTGATTGGATCCTGAATTGGGTCCAAGGTGTCTGTCCACTCTGTCTGCTGGGTCAGTTTGTGTTTGATAAAAATATGTGTTGGGTGGGTGACAGGGGCAGATAATCTCTTTAATAAGAATTTGTGATTTTGTTGTACAGCCATCCACTTGAAAGCTGTGAGGTATGTGTTGTGAGCCATTGTCTGGTTTGATATGACTTTGAACACACCAACTGCAATTTTGTTAGTAGCATTTTGAATTTTGTCTAATAATTTGGTTTCCTTGTTGTTCTCTTTGATAAACCACACTATACTGCCATGAAGGATTTGTGGGATTAAAACAGCTGAGAGTAGTTTCTTGAATTCTTTTGAGGAAAGACCTGAGGAACATTTGTTTATTCAAATGAGCTGCTGAAATTGGTCTTTTTAATCTGATTGATATGACTGTTAAAAGTTAGTTTGGGGTCCATCCATAGTCCTAACCATCTTACTTCATTTTTGGGTTGTAGCATGTTTCCCCCTAGTGTGAAAGGTAGCAACACTGGGTTTATTTTGTGTTGGACTGATTCCCAACAAACAAAATACAAATCTTAGTATAAGATCAAAGAAAGATACTTTGATATAAAAAGCTTATGGTAAGATTTATAAAAGAAACAGTCTGATGAAGAGAAGATTTTTAGACAGTGGTTTGAACTTGGGTTATATACAAAACAACAAAACACTCTAACACAAAAATGAAATCATATAAAATGACCTCACAATCTACATTGAGTTATATGATGTAATATCTAAAATGACAAGTTAAAAAAAGGGAACAAAAACCCAAGATCAATCCACCATTGATCACTAAGATCTTCACACTAAACCACAAAGACTTTGAGAGCATAACCATAACTCCAACATTTTGTTTGGTGGAATGCACAAGTTGTACAATTCAATTGTCAAAGTTTGCCCAATGTTTCTTTGCCCACTCTAGCAAATAGTTAGCATGGTTGTTGAGTTTTGTGGTGTTCTCTTGAATTGATTTTGAGGCCACTACATGGACTATGTTGTCTATAAAATCAAGCAATACATCACTTGTTGATGGGTTTAGAGTTTGTTCACCAAGGATAAAGAATTACAAATAATATATAGGATGAGTGATAGTGGGCACCCTTGTGGCAGCCCTCTTCTGATTTAATGATGAAAGTATTTGAAATGGAATCCTAGAGTCTGAGGTTGGTGGTGTGTTCAGTGAGGAATCCTCAGACTGGGTGTAGGAGATATTTGGGGCCGTTATTGATGTGTAAAATGTACCAAAGTTCTTCATTGTGGACTGATGGGTACACTCTGTAAGTCTAAAAGCCAAAGCTATTTCCCCTCTTCTCCATTGTCCCTTAATCCATGAAATTAAGATGACCAATTCATCTTCAGTGCTATGTTGCCTTCTTCCTCCCAAGTAGTTTGGTAAGATGCTCTTGAAGCTTTCTGCCATGAGAGATATCCTACTGGGGATTATTTGTTCCAAAATTTTGCCTGAGCAGCTTAAGAGGGCAATTGGTCTGTAAGCATTAGGATTTGAGCAGGTGTCTTTACCAGCCTTGCAAATTATAATCATGATGGCTTTCTGCCAATTATCTGGGAAGTGACTAAATTTGAAGCAGACATTGAATAGAACACAGAGTTTGTTTTCAATGGCTGGGAGTGCTAATTTTAACAATTCATTGGAGCTTTTGTCTTCATTGCTTTCTGTTTGGGAGTCTGGTAATGATCTTGTTTAGTTTGTTGGGCTCTGCTTGTGGGTATGAGAATGTGTTGTGATGGTGGTGGTGGTTCCAAAGTTTGGTGGGGATAGCTGATAGATATCAAGGTACCATTGAATAGTAATCAGGCCTGCTTGTTTTTCCCTTTGCAATGGACCCATCTTGATTTTGTAAAGGTGCAACTTTGTTCAACAAGATTGGCTGGGTATATGTCTTAAAGGTTGTGGTGCTGGAGCTAGAGCCTAGGAAATACTTCCAGTGAGTTGTTTTAGCTGAGAGGATCTGAGTTTTGAAGTATTGTTGCCATTCCGCATAGCACTTGTGAGCTTCGGGTAGATTGGTGATCATCCATCTTCGTGCCCTATTTTGTTTTTTTAGGACGGGGTTGAGGTTTTCTTTATCCCACCAGGACTTGTGTTTGTGTGTGTGTTGGTTTTGACCCTTTTTCCTTGAACTTGTGCTGATTTGGGAATGATGTTTGAAAGATTGATGATCGAGCTGTTGATAAATATCGTGCTTTGACAAATTTGTGGATCAAGTTGACAGCTCTTGACAGCTCCCGAGCCAGCCAAGAAGTCAACCCGGTGTTGTACCGGTTTTTTTTGGCAACCCGGTTTGGTTTGCTGTTGATCGGAGATATTTCAAGAGTGGCTGAACTTTGAAGAACTCAATACGATCAACTCATCTCATCTCATCTCATTCATCAAGCTCATCTCACTAATCAAACTCACAGTCTAAGTCCTCCTCAAGCTCTCAATTTCATCGGATTTGATTATCTTCAGGATGCCTATCGATAAGGCTCGTGCAAAAGGACTCTTAGGTGTCGGTCAGAAGCCACAAAGTGCTGTCACTAGTTGGGTGGATCGTATCTGTCAATCATCAAAACCAGTAGCAGAATCAGATTTGAATCAATTTATCGTTGAATTAGTTGATGTTATTAACCTTCAACCAACTGGGTAGGTGAACTTTTTTCCTAATCTCAATCCATCATTTAACACAAAATTGATTGTTCTTGATATTCACTAGACCAGAAGAAGCCAGTCGTGCGGTTCGAAAGCAACTCAAACATGGTGATATCACACATCAAAAGAACGCACTCAACCTTTTAGCTTCTCTCGTTCTCAATGGAGGTTCTAAATTTCAAAGTAAGAAGAAAATCTTAAATGATCAATCCAAGAAGAGATGAACCCAAATTAAACTCCAGAACGTTTTTACTTCAATGACCGTTTATTTAGCCACTTTTGCGGATGAACGAATGGTAGATTGCATCAAATCACTTGTTTATGATGCTCGTACAGATCCAACTGTTCGTAGACAAACGATGATCTTGCTTTCTTATTGGTCTAAAACATTTCAATCCGATCCTACAATGTCAACTGTAGCTGGTCTTTATTCGATCTGTGGTGGTTCTCATAAACTTGCTCGTCTACAACCTGCTTCTAAACAAACCTCACCACCTATCAGCAAAACGACCAATAAAACCTCTATGGATTCGATCAACTCTAATGATTTAGTCTCAACGATGATTTCAGGGATGGAGAAGGATACAGCTAAAGCCATTAAAGCTGCTCAGAAGTCTAAGAAGAAGGAAGAACGAAGCAAAAAACCAAAGAATAAGATCGATCAACGGTTTCGTACTAAATTACCTTTACCTCTGAATGACGCTTCAGACATCGACTTGAAGGAAGAAGCTCCTGGGATCTTGAATGTGGTGGCCACAGCTGCTCAATGCGCCAATAAGTTTGTACCGGTTTTATTTCCAACTCTTGTAATCTTTATTGATCACTAATTGTTACTTTTATCTTTTCTAGTCTTGTGAACTCTATACAACTCATCAATCCAGAAACACATGACGTAAGAACCGACGAAAAAGTCCAAACGAATCTTGAAAAGGCCAAGACTGTTCAAAAGCGTTTAATACGGTATATACGGTTAGGTGAGATTGTTTTTGAATGGCTAGATTTGCTGACACTCGGAAGGCTGATGATTGAGTATCTCAGTCACCGATCGTGACACGAATGGTGATTATATTGGTACCTTGGTCAACACGAATGCTCAAGTGGTTGCAGCACTTGAATTGTATGAAAAACAGATCGACCCATCTAAAGACCTTAACTCGAGTACCAAGCGACTCAAAGATTTAAACATCCGACCTACACCAGCACCTCATCATGAAGAACGAGGATTATTTGATGATCCAGAAACCCCAATCTCACCTAATCTTCCGATCAGACCATCTACTAATTATAATGAAGACTTACTTGGACTTGATTTTGGATCAGAAGGAGATCATGATTCGGATCGATTACCTAAACCGATTGCACCTGATTCATATCAAAGTTCAACTCAAGCTCAAGTTAATCGAGATTATGATCCAGGTACACTTTCGGATTTTTCGGATTTTGATTCGTCGAATGAAGATGAACCACAAGTTGGACTGATCTCACCTCTTTCGGTTGGAAAATCTACGTTGATTCCTGTGGATCAATCTGTTACTAATCGACCTGAACCATCGGGATCTAAGTCAAGAGAAGTGGAAGATAATAATCCTTTTGCAGATCCGTTTCTTTGATCAGTATCCCTCTATATACACTCTTGAGTGAGATCTTATTGGCTCAAATCGATCATTCAGAAGCTAATACCTTACCCTATATTTCAATTTATTTTCTCAAAAAAACAACCTGTGGATATGTAAATAATGTAATCTTTGTAGTCTGTTGATATATTTACTATTCAGATCCATTTACTTGATCAAACTTTAAATGATTTGATGATTTTTTTCTTTTCGTTTGTTTCTGTACCTTACCAAACCAATGTTGTCTGACCAATACGCAAAAAAACAACCAATTCCAAATTAAAAGCTTGTATCATTAAACCATATATTATTTATACTCTTCTCTGTTCATCTCTCTCTCTATATACATTTCTTTTTTTGCAATACAAATCTTTTTTATTATAATTTCTATACATGCACGTTCTTTTTTTCTGGTTGATGTGTTTTTTCTTTTGCTTTTTTTTGGGTTTTATTTTATGAAATTGGTGGGAATGGTCAAGGGAGCTTGAATGAATGATGTCATGGTCAGATGATGAACCGATTGAGCATGTTTACATAAATCAATTGAGCCCCTGTTTACAATGTAAGTAGCATTGAATGACAGGGACTCTGTCAACTTAGATTGAGCTCAATTGAGATGATCAGGCAGGGAATGGAAGGTGAAGAGCTGTGAAGAGTGAAGAGTGCTTTAAAGTTGAGATTGGATGGTGTTTACTTGTAGTTTGAGTGTTCTTAAACTGTTGACTCACTCTTCTTATCTTCTCGGTTGAACATCTCAAATATCTTTGACTTCATTTCAACTAACTTCATCCATTTCTCATCATCAGATTCAAACATGTCGGGTCTCATTCGTTCCCATGAATCAAATCAGGTTGAGTTCATCATCTTACCTTTCTCAATGAGTTGACTACATAGCTGATCTAATGATAATAGCCATCAGATGGATCATCAGATGAACATGAACCACCACTTTCCTCTGAATCGTTGAGTCACTTTTCTTCTTGGGATTTCTCTTTGACATATTACTGATGTTTTCAATCTTTTGATTATACAAATCAGTTCGCATTCAAATGTTGGTACTATACCCTTCAAATCGTTTTTTTTCTCTCTAGAACTTCGATTGATGGTCGTGTATCGTGTATCGTGATCAACAAATCTCACTCTATCAATCAAAACTTCACAGGATCATGAATCAAATCAAACAGAATGTAAGTCTTATAATCACCCTCATCATCATATTCATCACGATTCTGACTTGGTTTTGTTCTTTAAGCTGCACTTCCACATGTGCTCGTCTACGATGAACCCGATGGAACGGGATGTCAGTCTTGGAATCACTTTATCAACACGTTCATCACGATCCTGACCATCTTTTTTTTACTCTCTTAAGCTGCTTTACCGCATGTGGTTGTGTTATATGACTATCCGGCCATTATGCGAGCATGGGAAGAAGAAGAAGAAGAAGAAGAAGCGGAAGACGAGATTGATGAAGATGGAATAAGTGATACAAGTGAAACTTACTATTTCGATGACCCTGATAATGGTCGGGTGGCGCGTTACTATCCTGAGGTCACTGAGCCTGTCTCTGAAGGTGTTGACTTGGATCGCTCAGGTGAATATAGCAAGGTGAGTCTTCAACGATATCCGTAGTGTTAAGTATACCTACTGATGCTTCGTATGTCATTTACTGTATTACCTCGATGGTAGCCACCAGAACATTACCACGCTTCCGTGAAGCGATTGAAAGATTATTCTCAAAACTTGGTCGACGTGTTGGCTTCCGCTGAAAGCTCATATCGTCCGTTTGATAAACGAAAGCTAGGGAAAGTAAGTTAAACTCACTCGATAGAAATCAACGTGCATGATAAACTGATTGATTTTGATCGTCCTTCATCTGACTCAGATGAACATACCCAATTCCAATGGAACCGAAATTGGATTATACGGTTCTCGTATTTACAGCGGACAGTACTCAGATGGTGTGCCGATCCTGCTTTATCGTTTGAAGTGTCATCACTCATACTGTATCATGTTTAGATGGCACCTTTTTCTACACTTGCGCTCAGGGGTTCCGGGTCTATATATACGACATGTGAGCTTTACTACTATCATACCATGCCTTGGATCCTTCTGATTCTTATCCTTTTCTTCCCTAGGACGGTTCCACCTGAGAGAACCAAAAAGAATGTGTTAGATACGTTCAACCATCCAACTCGATCTATCTTCCAATCATTCGACAGTTCAGAATCAAGTCACATTTCATCTATCAAATTAATTCGAACCTTTCAAGCTCCTGCTCATAATTGTAGATGGACTATCACTGATGCTAATCTTAGCCCTGATAATAATTGGATGGCTTATAGTTCGATCACACCTATTGTTCATCTGGTCAAAACTCGTGGTGAAGATGCTGTTTTAGGTTTAGGTTTAGAAGATCATGAACAAGAAGCTCTTGATTTTGGTATTGATCGTTGGGAAAGGACAACTTTTGGGATTTGGAGTTTACGATTTAGTAGTGATGGTAAAGAGCTCATAGCTGGCGGTAGTCGTGGTATGTCACGTTTCTGTTCATCACAGAGCCTGTGTTTGTCGGCTTCCAATCTTGCTGATTTCTCTGCCATTCAATGTATCCCTTCGCTCTTGAACAGGTCGCATCATTGCATATGATGTCGAAAGAAAGACCTGTTTGCTCAATGTAGTGGGACATTCAAACGATACCAATGCAGTTGAGCTGTCTGTCCTTCGCATGCTCTTCGTCAGCAACTGACTGGGCTCGATGTTCCAACAGCTATGTTTTGCGGATAAAACAGATCCTAATATCTTGGTGTCAGGTTCTGATGATACATATGCCAAGATATGGGATCGTCGTTCACTTCAAAATGCACAACCAGCAGGGTACGTCGATCTAAACTACAATACCCATTCTAGTCGAGTCAAAAGCTGATGTAAAGGTTCTTTGATCATTTATCTTCTAGAGTACTGGTAGGTCATACAGAGGGTCTCACTTTTGTTAGCGCTAAAGGAGATGGTCGGTACATTGTCAGTAATGGAAAAGATCAGGGCGCAAAACTTTGGGACTTGAGAAAGATGATTAGTGGAGAAAAGTTTAATGAAATGGACAAATTGGATGTTTCTATCAGAGGTTGGGATTACCGTCATGGTGTCTACGATAGACCGAGTAAGTCTCATCATTTTACTGAGTCGGATCAATAGGGCCAGGATAGCTAATGAATTTGGTTTAAATCATGTAGTATGTCGAGAACATCCAAATGATTGCTCAGTAATGACATACCGAGGTCATTCTGTATTACAAACCTTGATTCGAGTTCATTTTTCACCACCCAACACTACTGGACAACGATATATCGCATCAGGATCATCGGATGGGTTTATACATATCTGGAATCTAGATGGTACAATAGCACAAGTCATCAATCGATCACAAACAGCACCACTCCTCAAGTCAAATGGATCTGGGAATAAATCAGAATTTACAGATCCATTTGATGTTCCGATTCCAATCGATCAAAGAAAACGAAATCTTAGAAGACATACACTTTATGGATATGAATCGATGACTGTTAGAGATGTTAGTTGGAATCCTAATGAACCTAGTTTGGTTTCTACGGCTTGGGGTGGGAATGATGGAGCTGCTGGATCTTTAGCTTTACATCCGTTTATGTCGGATGATAAGAAATTTAAATTATCATCTGAAATTAATCCTACTACATCATCATCGATTCATCATGATGGATAGGGATTGAATTCTTTTATTTATTTGAAACTTGGTATTGAATTGTTTTGCAAAAAAAATGCTCATGTTATATGTATGAAGAAAATTATTGTTGTATGATTTTGCAGAAAAATTGTTGTTTGAATTTGATTCTGTTGTACTACAATTTAAAAATTTCGGACTTTTAGTTTAGTCTTTCTTTGTGAAAGAAAAATCATTATTATTTTCGTTTTAGTTCGATTAATAGGAGAGCTATTATTTTGTATTTTTGGTTTATCAAGAAATACATTTAGTTTTTTGTTTTGATTTCGATCTATGTATATAAGTGGGAGTCCTTGAGTGATGATATTTGTTCCTCGAAAATATTTTGGAAGCTTGATGACGATCAATTTGGTTCTCGATGGTTTGACTTGACTTTACAAAAACAGACTGCCAAGGACGAGTTTTAAAAGTAAAATCAGATGTTGATACACGGTTCTATTATATCCTATTTCCTCAAAGCTTGGTGCCATGAATAAAGAAGAATCGAAGACGATGAATTGAAACAACAAAAAAGTTTTTACCCCTGGGGGCTCAGAAATTCCCTATCTACCCCTTAGGGTGACAGAAGCATTTGGTAATAGTTTGCAACCAGCAATTTGATTATCCTCAGTATACACTTCACTGGATTAATCACTTGCCCGAGCACAAAGATAACAAAGATGTGGAAAATTGGGTATATAGATCTTTATGTAAGGTGCCTTGGTTCGAACCTTGTGCAGAGGTTATGGGATACGAACTTGTGTACATAGCGCCTTGTTACGCCCCCTCATGATCAGCGCCGGGATCATGTTGGATAGATCAGGTGAAGCGTTAAGGCTTTGTTTGAATGAGTCATTACAAAATCAACTTGAAGAAGACGAGTTTTCCAGGCTTCGCATAAAGAAGTTTACAAAGGTTTAAGCAATTTATAATGAGAGCTGCGAGCATCCACGCAGGTAGATACATTCACAAGACCGATGTGATCCTACTTGTCAATGCCAAACTCTTCGTCCTTTGTTTTGAGAAATACATGGACGGGAAGGTCTTGCGTGCATACCACAGGCTGATCGCGATTTTAGTTTTCTTGATTTGTATGTACATTCTGCTTGAAGGAAGCTCTAATGATAAAGAGCTCTAATGATGTGTTAATTGTATGAATCTTTAGTATTGACCCTCAAGCGATTCTACATTTGTATCGCTCATAATTGATGCTATTCAAAGGATTGTATACATTGCAAAACATCAAAACGAACAAATCTTTGTATCACTCAATTTTGATGTGATGTATTGTGCTCAGGGGTTTTTATCGCATGATGATCACATGCGCAATCTTTAATCGCATCGGGATTGAATGGCTGAACTGACCTTGTGATTTACTTACGCAACTCCTTCTTATGTATACAGTCAACATATTGGAAAAATGTGATTTTCTATCACGAGGCTATGTGTACTGGCGTTCACACATGCGAAGCAAAAATGTTGGTGGTGATAACACCGATGAAGATTTCTGCCATTAATTGTTGGAACGGCTGTAACAAAGACAAACAAAATTTTAAACAGATGTTTTCTGATGTTTTGCCAAGGGAAGAAGAATGAATGGTAGAGGAGATATGTAAGAGGACCCCGGAAAGCTCCAGGTGAACTATCCGACGTAAAATGAATGGATTGAGGGTCGAAAAAAAGGCCAACGTACCGACGAAAAAGGTATTTTTTGGGGGGTTTTCGAGCCAAAATCAGATTTTTGGAATTCAGACCTACCGACGTGACAGGTATGGATTTCTCCTGAGCCAAAAAAAAAGCCCGAAAACACTGTCTTTTGGACGTACGTACCGACCAAAAACGAATGGACAGGTCTCCTGGGAGATTTTTAGCGATTTTTGCTCTTTAAACCTACCGACGTAACCGGAATTGTTTAAGCTCGATTTTCGGGTTTTTACCGCGTCACGGGGTATTGAAAAGGTCAATTGGGGTGGTTTTAGGTCGGATACTTTCCCTGGAGCTTTCCGGGGTCCTTATGTAAGTAATTAGAATCTTGGATTCAACCATGTGGGAAAATATTTGGCTTTGAAGTTGTCTCTCACCCTTTCTCGACGTCGAGAGTGCCAAGTGAATGTCTTTTGTTAAAAATGAAGAAAAGGTGACTTGCAAACAATTTCACTCGAGTTCCCACTTGTGATTTTATTTTTTTATCCATCCATCTATCCATCCATTCATTCATTCATCCATTCATCCATTACACTCAACCACTCACTAGCCACTTGATGAGCTCTAGTCCTCAACACCAACCAAACCCAGGTCAACCACCTCATGCAAATTCTAATGATACTTTCAACCAGTTTTGACAAGATCTCATTAGAGACTTGGGATTACCTGACTCAACTTACCTTTATTTTGTGAAGAAGATTATTGAGGAGGAGAATGAATTCAAATGTAATATAGCAATTTCACATAGTACTACAGCCAATATTGATCAAGATTCATTGAAATTCATTGCAGTCATCTTTTACTTGCCTGATGAAAAAAAAGTTTTGGTGGTGAACTCAAAGTGGTCTTTCTGAGCTTGAGGGTGCTTTCATCAGGTAAGTAACAGATAACTACAATGAATTTCAATGAATCTTGATCAATATTGGCTGTGCTACCGTGTGAAATTGCTATATTGCATTTAAATTCATCCTCCTCCTCAATAATCTTCTTCAAAAAATAAAGGTAAGTCAAGTCAGGTAATCCCAAGTTTCTAATGAGATCTTGTCAAAACTAGTTGAAAGTATCATTAGAATTTGCATGAGGTGGTTGACCTGGTTTCAGTTGGTGTCAAGAACAAGAGCTCATTGAGTGGCTAGTGAGTGGTTGAGTTTAATGGAGGAACTCAAGCAAAATGGTTTGTGAGTCACCTTTTTCATTTTTAACAAAAGACATCCACTTGGAACACTCAACGTCAACACAAAACAAAACAAAACAAAAAAGAGATGGATACAACATATTATGTATAATAGATTAAAAGCCAAGTGTGCAATTTAATTTGGATCACCAATTCTACATTGAAGAACTTCAAGTTTGTCAACCAGAGAGGTTTTGCAGAGCAAAACCTCCAAGATTGACAAAGTAAGTAAGTCCATAATTAAACTTAATACATATAAATAAAAAGAAATATTACAACTCTATCACTTGAGTTTCAAGAGTGTAAAAAAAATAAAAACCAATCCCTTGAGTTACCATCTCTATAACTGAGGTTATAATTTAATTAACCCTTGGTAGAAGAAGAGTAGGCAATGAGAGAAAATTTTTGCATTAACCCAGGCCAGGGTTTGAATGATGAAAGACCCCGACCAGGCCAAAAGACAATGAGAAAGGGTTTATATCGTTACTAAAACTACAAAACCCTGAACCAGACCAATATCAGAAGATAAGGGTTTTTTACATGAAATCATACAATGTTGACCATTTTGGAGTCATTTGATTGGGGGTGATGCTCAGCTGCTGGTAGATAATCAAGAGAATGATCGGTCAGTCACGTGTAGAGGATAGCAGAATATACTGACAGGCCTTACATATTGGATTAAGAAGATTTGATATGGACATTGCTGTGTTTTGCAAGGTTTTTTCGTCAGCATCTTTGGGCAAAGAGTCAAGAAACAGGTCGATCAAATTCTGCTCCTTGGTTAAGTGTGTGGCTGCTTCAAGTGCTTGTTTCTTGGCTAACTTGTTGACTTGATATCCATACTCAATATAATAGTGCTGAGTGGCACAAACCAAGATATCTAATGTAGCTCAAATGTCAATACAAGTCAAAGAAAGAAGGAATGAAAAAGATGAACAGCTGCGTACCTGATAAGTTTTTGGGTGAATTTTGATACGAGTCATCCAGATCTTCTGGAACATCATCAATGGTGGAATTGAGTGAACCCATTCCACAAATCAGCGCAAGTTGATTGGCTTGCTCATAGGCAATTCCAAGATCTTCCGAAATTTCTTTGTCAGATGGGAATTCAGCAAGAAATTTGATATTTTCATTGTCAGGTTCATCAGAAAAAGCGTATTGATACCCAGAATGCATGTGTTCTGATGAGGGTATCTTCATTCTGCCCAACATAATATTCTTGACTATGGCATGAATTTTTGGCATCATCATTCTAGCGTCGAGAACAGTGGATCTTGGAGAAATCACATGCATCCAGCCAAAAACGTGTTCACAGGGCTCGCTCCCATGCTTCCAAGGGAGCAAAGGGATGTTTGGATAAAACTCTCAATGAGCTATGATAAGCTGGAGTAGGGAGGTTGCTAGTGTTGAAAATATCTTGAGACTTTGAGGTGATATGCAGTTTTGAGCAAAGCTCATTAGCTTATGAGGCTCAGCTTGTTGTTTGAGGAGGTAAGTTTTCCAGTGTCAAAAAAAGAAATCTGCAGTCCAAGCTGATTAGATGTGCTTGTGATGGCCAATCCATTGGTTTAACCACGCATCACACATTTCACCTACTACATATAGATAGATTGACAAACCAATCATGTCATCATGCGCCAGTGAAGCTGCTAGGGTGCTGGAGCTCAACGTTTGAAAGGCTTGGACATCATCTTGTTTGTCACAGTCAAATATGTCCTTATGAAGTAGCAGGCTATTTCCATACTGGAGTAAAGCAGCAACCTGCTGTATCAAGACATGATATTTACCAATGACAAGAAGACAAGCTCCAGAGCTCAACTGGTTTGCACCAGTTTTACGAGCGTGCTTAGGATCCTGCACCATTACAACTGGGCGTGGAGGATGACCAATCAGAGGCACCTTGACATGGACATTGTAATGTGAGTTCGAGTAACTAACAAACTGAGTCGCCGTATCCGTGAGAGAATTTTGAGCGCTTAGTTTGGTTGGTGCGCCGTCTGCACCAACTGAAAGGATATTGATCCCAGCCTCTTGAGACATTTCCAAAAACTTGAGGTGGTTTTCTAGGATGTCATTTGGAGTTTCCTTATCGCAACTAGCAATGAGTGCAACTGCAAAAGTTGGGATATTAGGTAAGGGAACTTGCAGAGTGTAAGCCCAAATCTGGTTCAATGAGAGATAATTGAAATCAGCAATTGAAAAGCTGCTTTGAGTAATTGAGCAGATACAACGTACCTTTGAGCAAAGGTCTTTATTTTTGACCACTGATTTTACAAGTGCTGGAAGCTCAGAAGGATCATCAAATGATATATCCCCACCTTGCACCCCAACTAAATGACCATCATGATGTCGAAGCCGCTTGACACACACAGTCTGGTCAGAAGCTGCTGCTACTGGTCCAGAATAACCAAGATCTTTGAGAACTTGGGTGATTTGATTGAAATTGACAATGTGAAGACCATCGACTAGATGAATTCCTTCTTTTGCTTGCTTCATTCGCAGACTATGATTTCTGCATCCCGCAAAGTTATCATTGAAGATATTTAGAGCGTGTGGGCTGATGGCTCCGAGTGTAATGACAAATTCATCCAGGCATGATTCGATCTTCATACCTCGGGTGGTCTTTCCTGCATTTTCGCATGCAGCCTTCACTGCAACCGCCTTAATCAATCCGTGTGTTGCATCTGTTGACACTACAAGAAAGATAATATTTTCTGGGCAGAAAATTAAATTATTGATACACAAAAATATTGAGAGGCCAGGAGGAGAGCAAAAAAAGAAAAAAAAATGCATCTTGTTCCCCGCGTTGAGAACTTCACTGTGCATATTTTTCCGTATTTTTACAGTCCATATTGATAAGTGTACTAACAATAAACCTCCACAATCATCCAATCACAACCTGTAACAAGCACTGAAATTTGGCTCATTAGTGTTTAGAGAAACTTTTGATTTCTGAAAATACTCATAACTTTTTCAATTCCGGTCCAAAACGCTTGATTTTGGGTGCATTGGTAAGCTGGAATTGTCCTCCAAATAGCTCATAATAGGACCACACAGCATGCTGGTCTGCTAAAAAAGATATCACCTTTTTTATACCTTTGTACATACAGATCCATAGAATGATTGGCATACTAGCTACATAGTTTTTGATCTTATGAAAGTTCGAGAGAAAGAGTTCAGCTTTCTAATGCACTTAAAATCGAGTGTTTTGATGCAGATTTGACAAAGTTATAGGTGTTTTCAGGTATCAAAAGTTTCTCTAAACACTAATGAGCCAAATTTCAGTGCTTGTTACAGGTTGTAATTGGATGATTATGAAGGTTTATTGTTAGTACACTAATCAATACGGACTGTAAAAATATGGAAAAATATGGAGAGTGAAGCTCTCACCGCAGGGAACAAGATGCATATTTTTATTTATTTTTTGCCCTTCTCCTGGCCTCTCAATATTTTTGTGTATCAATAATTTAATTTTCTGCCCAGAAAATATTATATTTTGTGTAGTGTGAGAGACATATCATGACTCTCCTATACATGAGTTCCAGATGTCGTGGTAATGTTCTCACTTGAGGTCAAGGAAGAACTCCTGAATGACAGTACCTTGAATACCACTTTGACAGCACCTTGAATACTATTTTGACAGCACCCTAAATCACCCTCAATCTTCCGATAATCAATTGTTTCTATTAAACCTTCTTTTTCATTTTGCTGTTTCAACATTTTCACTTACTAGAGACTAACTATGCGCGCATGCGCGCACCAGGGGAACAGGGTCCTATGTATATTACACGTTTTAATTGTTAGTATAGCTTTTTCCACTTTACATGAAGAAAACCTTTTCACCATGGTGCTGAGCGGATCGATTCAAATCCAAGCTTAAATTCTTGATTACAATACAAATGAATTCCATCTCAACTCATTATGATACTTCAGTTTTCCTCCCCTTTAATCAAGCGCAGGGCAACCACAAACTCCATGAGATGTCACAGTTATGTTATTATATTACATAATATCTACAGAATCAAAGTGCTAGGCAAGATCCCCTTGCAAACGATGGAGCTGTGAGCATCTCGCAGGGGATAACTTGCCGATGAGGATGAGTCGGTTGGTAACTAAGGAATAAATATCGGGAAGAAACTTCATCTCATAAGGATAGGATAGTTGTTGCAAGGTGAAGGAATAGTAGAGATAACAACCTCATAAACATCCAAGGGACCGGAAACATTTAAATTTCTGGTTTTGACTTTATTGGTAGAGATCAACATTTGGATAGCTGATTAGGAATGATTGGGCAGGATATGAATATTAAATAGATTTTTGGGTGGTATAGATCGAGGTGACTGGTGTACAGAGAAACCGCTCGAGGAAAATGGGTAGACAAAAGTGAAATGTGAGGAGGTAGTAAGATGCGACGAAAGATGCTGCGACAACAACGACATTTTATACGCAGAAAGTCAACCTATTAAAGAGAAAAAGCATGACTGCGTTTAAAAAGCACCTGATCGAGAGGTAAACCGAGGTAAGCCGCCGCCAGAATCTGACAGGCAAGGAAGGAAGAATCTTGTATGGTTGGGAACAATAAATGCGCGGGCGAAGCAGCAAGTAAAAGCAACACATCTGAAGCAAAAGGTGATCAAGTGAATTACTGAATTCGACAAACGAACAATAAAAACACATACGATCTGGAAAGTAAAAGCAAGCAAAAGCTCATCCGGCAAATTACAGACCTCAATGAACGAACAATAAAGACAAAGCCACATACAAAGGGAAAGTAAAAGCAAGCCCTACAAGCAGGAAACCGAGAAAGTAGGGGCAACACCTTGACCAAAAAACAAAAGATGTGTAATGAGTATCTAAAAAGCAAAAACAAATGAAAAGTCAAAGAAACTGGAATGTGAACACATAAAAAGGATGAGTGTTACATCAGCTAAACCGCCAATAGAGGGAAAATACTCGCATCAGGAAATACCCGACTGAAGGGAGTGAATTGTAACATTTTGTTATTTAGATAGTAGCCACTCTTTCCCCCATCAACTGATACTCTTTTCCTCATCCAATATTTGAGGAAAAGAGTAAGTCAAATATTTAATCATCCATCTTCCTTATAAATTAGTCTTATGCTAATTGTTTCTTGTGTCTTCTTTTTATATGTTATCTTTGTCTGTCAACACTAGTTCATAGTTATTGAACGTGTTGTTCATTTTATCTTTTTCACCTTATCTCTGCCGTGAAACCTTACAGGTCAGACTCAAGCCTTACATCTTTTCTCTGATTCTCATATCTTAACATTCCATCTCGTTATCTTGTATGATCTTATAGGTTAGTTATCAGGCAGTGTGACGTGAGGTTGATTGAGGCTCACCTCTAGTAATTTGTCACGGGAATCTTAGGTGAAATATATTATCCAATATTTGAGGAAAAGATTCATAGTTATTGAACGTGTTGTTCATTTTATCTTTTTTACCTTTTTATCTCTGCCGTGAAACCTTACAGGTTAGTTATCAGGCAGTGTGACATGAGGTTGATTGAGGCTCACCTCTAGTAATTTGTCACAGGAATCTTAGGACTCCGGAATTGAGACTTTTCACATCATGATCATCAAACAATCCATTTTGAGCTGAGGCAGCAAGAACTGTACAAAATTCAGAGAAATCACCTTCCAAAGCCTTTTTGACCAAATTTGAAAGGCGACAAGCGTTGGTAGATTTTAGTAAGGTGGGTGAAAATGTATCAATGTTATCTGATAAGTAACTGTCACGAGTGAACTTGAGTTTGTCTTTTTCAGCATAATCCTTATTGAGGGCTTCAATTAAGCTACAGAGGCCTTTGAGTTCTTCACAAGCTGGACAGACAGCGTTTGTTTCAGTCTTTTTGCAATGAAAAGTCCTTTCACAATTGCTCGAGTAAATTGCGCTCCAATCCCCATGGCGCTTGACTTCCCATTTGGATCAAGAATCAAGTGTAGTGATTAAAAGAGATTTCTGCTCGGTATTCAATTGGCTCTCTCGAGCCTGGCTTCCGAAGAGTTCCTTGCAGATCTTGTGTCAATTGTTTCCACGATAGATAGTACAAGTTTTTGATACAAAATCTGTGATGGAACATGTAGCTCGTTCTTGTTCCCAAGTTACGTCGTTGAGTCCTGGACAAGATATCATGATCATGTTTTTAGAGGTTACCAACCGTCCAAAAAAAGAAGTCAAGTCTGTAGTCTTTTTAAGGCCACTGGTTTTGTTTTTACATATTTCTGTTAGAAAACACAAAATGTAAACATTGGTCCAAAGGGCATCAATCAACATGAAATGAAAAGCTTACCAGTGTCCCAGTGAGCTGTTGCTGGTCTAACATGGCCACCATTAAGCCAAATGGTTTTGGCACCACAGTGGCAGTTGAAGTTTTTACCTCTGACCTGGTCCTCCACCTGACATCTGTTACAATTCTTGCCAGGTTTTGATAATGGGCACCATTTGACAACTTTTGATTGCTTGATCTGGCGATTCGAAATTTTCTTTTTGGAAGAAGTAGCTCTAATGATCTGCTGATCACCATCATCATCAGAGGACAGCACAATTACACTCAATATATTCCCAGATCTGGTTTGAGTGTTTTTTGGTTGAAGCCTTGGGGCTATGGGAAGATACCACTTGTTGTTTCTGACCCATGTTTGAACCACGCTGCTCATCAACTTCATCAACTTCAAGATCTTCTGCTCCCGCATCTGATCAAATTTAAACTCAATTTTGAATTAATTCTGTTTTGACTGTTTTCATCTTTTATATGCAAATATAATCTCACCTTTGAGCACAGATACAGTATTGTCCACCTTGACCTTCACAATTTTTTCAGAATCACCATCCCACGTGTGGTGGTTTTGAGCTTTTTGAATCCATTCCACCACAATTGAAAGTCCAAGGGGACCTTTTGATTTTTTTTTTGATACAGTCTTTACCAAAGACTGCATCAAGACTGCAGTTGACTGTGTACCACATCCCTTCCTCTTTATTGGCAATTGGAGGATTTGAGAAGATTTTGTACGTTTGATCTTCACGGGCGGGAGCGTAACTGTATCAGTCTTTTTCTGAGACTAACTTGCTCTGAGACTATCCTGATACAAACGAAAAAGTACAGCGGATGCCGGCTTTTTGTACACTGTCTGTACAGACTGGTGGCAACTGGTACATATGTATGAAGACTTGAACAAATTCATTGTTAAGACTTCAAAGAAGCTTTCAACACTTCAACAAACTTGTTGTCAAGAATCATCAATCCTTGTCCAGCCATCCATGTGCACCTTGTATCAATACCTTCAGACTCACTCCAATCCCTCTGAATCATTGTCAAGGGGGTTTTATCGCTACAACCACTTACAAGTATTGATATTGAAACAACTTACAAAGCAACAAAATGTTATTGGAACAAGCTACTTTGAATGAAAGTAGCCATCAAAACTGATACAAGAAAAACAATGTATTGTCATTTGAGCGAGATACTTTGAATGAAAGTAGCCATCAAAACTGATACAAGAAAAACAATGTATTGTCATTTGAGCGAGATACTTTGAATGAAATATCAATATCATGACATGGATGATACAAGGACACTGGTGCCTATTGTGTAGACAACATTCAAAGAAAGCAAGTGGCTCAGTTTCATCCGACAAAGAAGAGAATGGGCCAGAGGCCAATTATCTGTTACACCTTGAAGTCTCTACACTCAAAGCTTTCTTCAAGAGGTTGTTGCAATGCTAACCCAAAAGATTTGTAAGAAGTTTTTATCTATTGCGTTGTCTTGATTTTGTCAAAAACGACTCAGTCGTCATCTTTCTAAAATGTCTCTTGGTATGTATAATCTTCACAAAAAGGACTTGCTATCACCTCTTTTCAACTTGTCTTTTTGTTTCAACCAACCTGAAATGCTTCTGACTTCTAGTTTTCAAGACTTCTCATTTTGCATTTTGTCAAATCAATTGTCTTTTGTATGTATTAATTTTGACCAATGAAATTGACCAATGGATGTCTAGATGTTATACTGTAGTTGGTGGAAGGCTTATAAAGAGGAGGCACCATGCAAAAAAAACGCGCCACCCAAAACGGGATTGAACTATACCTGTATATCTCATTGCTTCTCTCAGGTAGTCTCAGAGAAAGACTGATACCGCATCTCTCCCTCACAGGTACCTTCTTGAAGAGCCGGGAAGTTGTTGCAAAGGCTGATGATCTTGTTGAGGGTTTGATTGAAAGGCAACATGTTTCAATAGTTTGAATGTGTTTGAGTTTATGCGGCTATGGTGGCTGAGCCTGATAGTATACTCAGAGTATTCAGAGTTGAAGAACAAAGTTAAGACAGAGCTGTAAATGGCTGTAAACCTGGAAGATCTTGACTGTCTTGAGAATGTCAAGGAAGATTTCTCCGCTTTTCTCTGGCTAGCTCCTGGATACAGCTATACAGGCGCTACCCTAACCCTGATGGGTTAAAACTCCCCTCCCATGTCACGCACATCAAATTTGGGGACCTCAAAACTCCCCTTTTGTGTCACACACATTTTCGCCGAAAAAGGCCAAAAATCCCCTTTCTAGTCATGTACATATGTAAATTTTTGCCCCCAGAACCCACCTTTTTGGTCACTAACATCCATAGGTGCATCCATTATCCCGTGACTCAATTGTCTTGATTGTAAGAATTGAGTCTTCTCTCTCCCAATATTAATACTGGACAAGAGAAGAGTCTATGTGGGCTAGAGGCCTTCACAAATTCTCCAGAATTTGTGAAAGCCAGTTTTTAAGGGGATATATTTTTTGCGTGTTCTACGAAAGGTTTTTCTTAATCATTCTAGAACCCCAAAAGAATCTCCCCTTATAAAGACGCGAGCTTGGGGAGCCGGGGTCTCCCCTGGGAAAAAGATAGAATAATATCTGTGTTTTCTGTTTTTTATCCCGATGTAGGGAGGGTGGGTTGGACAAAAGAATTTTAACAATTCAATAAGGATTGTCGGGGAAAGATATCACTATATGGGGACCTGATATCTATTCTAATTCTTGGAAATAGTTGAATCACGGATAGTTAATGACTATAGTAGGTTTAGTAAAAGGTGCTGATAGTAAAGGGAGAAATCTGAGACGGATGAAAGTAAGGAGGAGGACAACTCCTTGTCTGTCCTTAGACTCCTTATATTGCTACCAATCTCAGCTCGTAATTTCTTTAGAGCTATGACGTATGCTGATTGGAAATTCTTGTGTAATTCCGCAACTCCTGAAGGGGACTCTTGTTCCTCTTTTGGATTGCTATTGACACAGTGTTCTTTCCTTTCCCGCTCACTCCTGACTGTCACTATCCTTGGGTGCACGCTTTCATGGACCAACTCCGCATTTCGTGCCTCATGTAAAGACACATTCCTGGGTCCTCATGATTGTTGCCCCTAGGTCCGGCCCGACAGGGGGCTCCAGATATTGTCCCGGGGGCGGAAAATAGTGGGATCCTATGGATATATGATGTATGTACAAGTGTAAAAAACCAACAACTTCATAAAGGGAGAGAACATGGTGGAAGCCAGAATAGGCAATCAAGGATGTTGAGTTGTGAGTTACGCGATTGAAATTTGACAATAATCCAAAGGGGTATTGCCGTTTAGATGAATAGATTCATGGATCATGGGTTATCAAGATACAAGTTTGGAGTGATCTAGTTGTGGGACCGTGAGGCAATGGCTTTCTGACGGCCTCTACGGTGTACGTAAGAAACCCTGCAACCCAAAACTCGTAAACTAATCTGAAAATCTGTACAAAACTCATAAACTCCAAAATTAACTCTCAATCCCAGCAAATAACTCGACTTTTCCAAAATTTACTCGACTTTCAACTTCCTTCGTAGTAAAGCTACGCATATCTTTTTAAAGCACTATACATAGTACTTCATCTTTTAGGCGCAGGCTACAATTCCAGTGTGACCACTGAAGACTTTATGGGCTGAAAGTTCAAAAAGAGAAGTTCCAAAAACCCACGCTTATATCACTTCGTTGGGGGATCCTACTTTTATTTGTGCAGAAACAAGGCAATAATGAATATGCTAAATGCAAAACCCAAAAAACCGATGCATATATGAGCATCTTCTAATACTTTTGATCTTTGAGTGGCCAAATGTGATTAAAATTGTGGATTGAACAACAAGATTTTGGGTGCCACCCAACCTCAGCATACATACTCCTTATGAAACTGGGTATGTGGTGCAGCCTTTTTGAAGGTTCCATCATCAATATTATAGCCAGAAGGCGCTTGAAAGGAAGCTCCCTTTTAAACTACCTGGAGGAGTTCCAGATGAATGTCCAGGAAGCCAAGCTTCTCATGGACTTCCAAAACTTTGTAGCTGGACAACCTGGGGTTCCTCCGCCTCTGGCTGAGATTATTGCAAAGCTCGAGGTGAGCCATACCTTTTATACTGCATCAGCAAGTACACTGACCAAATCAATTTTGCTTCTAGGTGGTTCGAACTTTCATAGTTTCCAAAAATTTGATTGCATCACCCTTGCCTAAAGACTTGTGGGCCATCAAAACAGCCCAGAACAAGAATCCCAAGAAATATGTCAGCCAAATAGCCAAACTCACCCACGCAGATGATGATCTACTCTATCAGGCCCTTCAAGCTTGGTCGCACTGGACATTTAATCTGTACAAAGGCGAAGCTTTGTTGAGTGAAATATCTGCCGACAGACACCTGCTCTCAGGATTCCAGACGGTGGACCGCAAGTGAGTCATTTTGAAATTGTTGCCTACTTACTGGTGATGGCTGAACTGATCTTTACATGTTCCTTTCATACTGCTGTGGATTTCAGTCCCAAGATGTGGTGGTCAGCCAAAAACACAAGGGAGAAGGGCATATGGTTTTTTTCAAATTCACATAAATGCTCTCCATTGTGCGGAGAAATAGGGTTGCTTCCAGTCCACCCAGAAGTACTTAGACCAAGGGTGTCAACTGAAAGGAGTTTTTGCTGTGCAAATAACTACCTAACGCATTAACAAAGTGACCCACTAACACACTAACACAATTATAAGTATATAATTAAAAACATGATAAAATATTAAACACATCTCTCAAGCTCAAGTTTCAAGAGCCCAACAAGTTAGAAATCATAATTACATAACAACGTAATTAGGACACCCTTTGTCTGATCACGATATGATCAAGAGACCCTTCATCAGTCCTAACTGAGAAGGATCCACGTAGTAGAAACCAGGACAATCAAGAATAGAACTTACCCTGACCAGGCGTAACTAAGTTAGAAGCGCGTCAACCCTAATCAGGGACTGGACCGGATCAAGCTCTAACCAAATAATTGGAATAGTTAAAAAATAATGATCTTTCGAACAAAGAAAGAGGACAATCCTTTTCCATCACAAAAATTATCTTTTACTATTTTTCAAATTCATCCTTTTCCGTTATACAAAAACTCAGAATTAGAAATCAAATCCCTTTTATCCGTTTGATAAAAATTAGAACTTACACTTTAGAAAAATCGTTACCGATAAATTTCCTTTAGTTTAGACTAACAATCATTGTTCGGACCTTTTTTCTCTCGCTCTATTTTCTTTATACTCCATTTCCACCAATAGGACGTTACAGATCGTTTAACTAGTAGTTATCCGACTAAAGTTCCTAAATACCTTTTTTCCACTTTGATAAAGAATTGTCTTATCAAATCAACGCTAAAGCGTCACCCAAGGATTCTACACTCTCGTAAGTGTTTACCTCGGCAGATTATCAAGTAATTGTACTTGCTAATATACTGGCAGCGGTTCTCAATTCCACCTGTGGTGTACAGATCCCACGGTGAAATACCGTGTAAAACCTAAGTAAACCTATCGGTATGCTATTGGAAACAAGCTGACAGACCTACCAGACTCCCCAGACCCCCATACTCGGTGTCGATACAAGTCCACACCAGACTGGTCTGGCCACCAAAATCACAAACCTCACTTAGAAAAATCAAAGAGGCTCGCAGACCGGTCTGTACTCACACAGACCGGTCTGTCTACTGTAAAACTTTACTCGAAAGCAACAAGTCCCACACAGACCGGTCTGTACTATACCCACCGGTCTGTACCTGTGCTGGCACTCACCGAGCATAACAAATCAGACCGGTCTGAGTACCTCACACCACATCCTTGAAAAGATCGGAGTCCATCAGACCGGTCTGTACGTCACTCAGCAGACCAGTCTGAGATCAAATACAAGCCAACCAGACGTCTGCGGTCCTGTCTTTCATGCAATTTCATCCCGCTCAGCACTGGAGCAAAATTCAATCTCAAACATCATCACAGTCCTATCACCATTTGCACCTTCACGATCAACTCGACCAACACTCAACTGACTCACGAATCGCCTGTTCAAATTTCAGATTTCAGGCTTCATGGATTCATGCATTGAAGCCAAATCAAGGTCACAGTCGAGGATGTGGGAGATAGAAAGTTAAAACAACATTTAAATGAATCAATGAACATGAATTGCACAACACGATCTATATTATTTATGTCATCACGATTCACTATTCAACTCAGTATCTACACCATCTAAAATCAATCGCTGCTCAACTAAATTGAAATCATCCAGAGCTTGAGCCGGAACAGAGCGACAGTGTACAATCTTCTCCCACACACTCGAAGATCTTTGAATCACACTGTTCCACTTGGAGATCAAAATTTCAATCGATTGGGGGCTCTCTGCTGAGTATTGTGCTGTTTTCCTCAGCAGCATCGGAAGCTGACTATCCCATACCATCCAAATTCGGCAAAACTTGATTGTCAGGCGACTATGTAGTGCTTTGAGAACTTGCTGACTCAATTCCCACGATGTTCTTGATACAAGACCACTCTGTTGAATTAGCTCGAGTGGACGTCTTCCGTTGGGGCAGCCATCAACCCATGCTAGGAAAAACATTTTAGATTAAGTGTGTGAGCAAGTTTAAAGTACAAGTATGTATTTGTTACTACTCACGCATCTCGCACAATTCAAGAAGTGCTTTCAACTTTTCTTCCATCATCAGAGCTGATCGAGCCATGTTCTGGACTTCACAGCTAATGCGTTCAACCTCTTCCTCACCACACCTTGCTGTTCGAAAGGCTTGAATTCCGGTCTGTGTATCCACGTCGACTGCCCAAGGCTTGTTGGGATGTGTAAGGTGTCCCATATCCCAGAAGGGATCGGTAATATCCATTGATTTGACATCTTCAAATGTTGGTAATCGATGAGGTGCAGAGTCTGGGTATGTATGATTATAAGATTCAACATTATCCTTGTATGTATTGTACTTTTGTAGCAACACCTTGTTTCTTTTTTCCATGACTTCCTTGTATCTTCCTTGCTCGGAGGTACCTGAAAGTTGAATAACCAATTACCACTCTGCAATATATTTAGTTTGAAATTCGAAATACAATGATATAGAATTACCAATGCCCGGCTGGTCCCATTTTTTTTGCCACTCGATCTTCCCAACTTTTGCCTCGTAAAGTTTCTCTTTTGCCATTTGGATTCTCATTCGAAGTCGAGCACGAGGGTCTAGGAATTAGTAGAGATATGTGATGTGACATAAGTCGATCCAAATATTAGATATATTATTCAAGATAGGCTTACCTGTTGCCTCTGGCATATTCCGAAAGTCTTCTCCACCTATATCCAGGGCCAACTCTGCTATAGTCTCCTCTAGAGCCACAAGGGTAGATGGCAGGGATCGCAGGGTATTATGTTCATCCTCAGACATGTCTCTGCGACGTTTACGTCGCAGTTTCTTGAGTTCGTTGCTATTTCAGATATGATGATGTGAAATTAGTAAACTAATACGAGTGCAGTGAACCAATAAAAGAAAAGAACGGACTGATTTTCTCTGAACTCTTCCTCCAAATCAATCAGACGTCCCAGTTGTTCCTGAAGTGATCGAATGGAGTTATCTGCCATTAACTCAGATTGCAAGGCTTTCTGTCGATTCCACTGATCCGAGAGATACTGCACAGTCAGCCCTGCTCTGGATTCCAGTTCACGAAGCACATTTCGAGCTTGATTGAGCCTCTTCTCAGCTACTTTCAGCTTGTGAAAAGCCGACTTTGCTGTCAAACCATTCAAAGAATGTCAGCGAAAATTGATTGGTTTAGAAAAGCAACGTACCAGCATCATGTAGCTTAATTGCGATTCCATGTAGAACCTTTAGATGTATAGCATCCAGACGAGTCTGTTTTGATGCCCACCGAAGAGCAGAAATCAGAGGTGATATTCCAAACCAATTACGCTCCAAGCCCTCTCTGTCCGAAAACCCAAATCCAATATTGAGGCGTGGATTATATTGAAGTTGGCAACTCCACCGATGGACGTACGCATGGAAAGCGCTTGTGCCAAACTTCAAGCGTTCGGCTGCACGTTCATTGGCAAAAAGATTATTCTATAAACAGACATGGAAGGTAAGCATAAGTAGAAGAGGATGCGTATGTAGTCAAATATCTTACTTTGATTACTCCTTTCTCTAGAGTACATCCTATGTCATACAGAACAGCAACGGCAGCTTTGTGGGTTTCCGTTCGAGCTTCCATGATGCTATCAAAGATGAATCCAAGGAGAGCATGTACAAAATATGCTCTGTGCATAAAGAAAAACTTAGAAGACAAGTCTGTCTGACGGCTCACTTTGAATATGAGGACTCACTTTTCTCCACTCCGAATGATGTTCACTATTTTAAGCATATGGTCGTGTCTACAGGCCAAACCAATTAACCCAGTCTCCTCGCTTCCGCGCCAGCTTGATCCATCTCGGTGGTCAGCCGCAGCTGTGTGTTGTATTGTACATGGGTCCTGAAAATTTCTTGTGGGTTAGATTTCTGATTTTCTTAATGCAATTCAGGTCTTCTGCTACTAACCAAAGCAACCTCTGTGCGCCCAGTTACTGAAGGTTGAGGTTCCCAACATGAAACATCTTCTGGTTTCATAAAAAGGGAAGGATTTGATATACCTATCTCGTCAAATTCTTGACTAGCTTTTTCATGACGTCGCTGTTGGAAATTTCCATCAACACAAACAATGAATTGTGGCCCTTTCTTGATACCGCAAGACCCTGATGGACCAAAACATCTGGGGCAATTGCATGCTAGCTTTTGCATAGGTGTAAGACTCAGACTTCGAACTTCCAGGTCTTCAATCATCTTCAGGATCTGACGATAGCAATACACTGCCGATGCTAATGGTCTTCGCCAAAGACGGGGCTGGGGCACAAGTGTAACAGTTGTTAGTTCCAATGTAGAGGCACCATTGAGGATTCAAATAACGTACCTCATGAGTTCCAGGAACCAATAACACCGGATTGAAGGCATCAAGATATCGGTCAATCATAAGTGAGAATGGCTGAATATTCGAGTGACAATATGACCACGCAAGATGAAAAAATCGAAGTAGTCTGAGGGAGAAAGCGGTCTCGGGTTGTTTGGGCGTACCTCCTAAGTATCCTTGATTGATCAACCGCACTTGGTCGGGAGTGCAGTCACAGAACTCAACTTCAATCTTCCTGCGATCTTTATCAGAAATCAGCTCCCCTTATCTTAAAAACAACGATAACCTATCTACACTCACAAATCAAATCAACAGTATCTACCAAGCGAGTGTGCTTGTAACTTGGTGCACATGAACAGTTTTCAAAGGCATTGAAATCTTGATTCCAGTTCATGTCATTTCCCCAGTTTGAGGTTCGCTCAGAAGACCTCATGAAAGCTAAGAATGTTTTCTGAAGGACTTCCTTCCAATGGCTGGCCTCTGCTAACCGTTGACTTCGGTAGCTCCTTTCAACCCTGTGCCAGCAACGCAACGCACCACAACACGAGTGTTTTTTGGTGCGTTGCTCCGCAACACGCAGCACAAACCTGCATTACATGCTGCGCTGCGGTAAGTACCGCAACAACAAATGGTGAGGTCAGGTTGCGCGGCGCCTTGACCGTCGCGCAACGCAACAGGCGCAACAGCGCCAAAAAAACGCCAAACTGTGATTTTTTTTGGGCAGCAACGCAACAAATGTTGTTGCGGCCCAAAAAATCCATCGATTTGACAAATGATGTTGCGCTGCGGGTCAGGCCGCAACCTAGAATTTGATTCTATGTTGTGCTGCGGTCAGAAAAACCGCAACGCAGGCGCAGCGCAACACGCAACACCTGCGTTGCTGGCCCAGGGTTGCTCCTTTGAGAGACAAATTGTGCATATGTATGTATATCAGCTTCGTCTCTCTCCTTGTCTGGCTCCCCGTCTGAATCGTCTGAATCATCAAGAAGCATCAAATCTTCGTTGAGTAAATTGTTTCCCTCTGGTGGAAAGCCTTCGTCTATTGCAGATGCATCAACATGCGGTTCGGAGGGTCGATTTTGGGAGTTTTGAAGAGCCTGGCTGATGTCATCGCACTTTTTCTGCCCCCAGCGACTTTGAGCGGAATCACGCTCGGCTTTCTCTAAAGTAGCAGCGGTTCCAGGAGGTTTCTTAGGTTTAGGAATCCGAGTACGTGGACATGCTATAGATCGGCCGGTAATGCCCATTTGGGAGGTGAGTGGTCAAGGAGTGGTTCGATTTCTATTTCTCAATTCTACATAGCTGAAACTCTTGTGCCTTTTTCTTAGCATAAAATTTATAGCCTTTTTGGTGAATATAGATTTCCAAATCAAGACTAAGAAACCATTTCAAGACACACGATGACGTAATTTAATATTCTAGGAACAGTTTGGCAGATGACAGAGCTTGTCAGCAAACGGAATCTCACTCTCCAAAGGTAATGATTGATCTTTGATGTTAGTCATAGTCATACGGAATACCTTCTTTTGAAGGTGAAAAGAAGACTACAAGTAGTTATGTTGACCTTTGACTACAACTGATGGACATCCATATGGCTTTTCTGCCGTCTGTTCCTATCTCTCATTATATTCCAACAATAAAATTAATAGAGCTACCTAGCCCCAATCAGAACTGATGTTCATAGGTGGTGAGAAGTTGCGTGTTATGGGTGTTAACGCTGAGCTGATAGCAGATAAAAAACGGCAAAGTGACAATCATCGGAAAGTAATAGAATTGAGTGAGTACAATCAATCAAAAACTAACATTCATAGATCATGAGTAAGATCTCATTATGGATCTATAACACTGAGCTGCAAGTGAAGGCACCCTTGCCGCAGCTTCGACCAGTCATGGTTCTTGGTGAATAATTAAATAACTAGCAAGGTAGAATAGCCATTAACATAAATCAATACTGTTAAATGAGTACAATCAATCAAAAACTAACATTCCAAGGTGACCAGAAATCACTCATGATGTCTTGAGAAGTCTGAGCGGCAGAAGATGGAACTCTTCCTGAAAGCTCATCCAACTTTTGCCATTGTTGAATAGATGAAAAAATAACAAAGACAGTAATCATAAATTAATAATTATCATCGAGTACAATCATAACAAACAATCAGCAGAAGGTGTTAGCTACTTGACTTGAGGTATCTAGCTTTTTGGTAACATAACACTGACCCAATGCAGATGAGGCAAGTGTGATGTAACAGATGCAATCTTTTGCTGCCCTTCATAGAGATGCATCATCAAGCATCATCAAGGTATCCACCATTAAAAATTTGTAGCACAGAAATGACATATGATGCCATTTCTGTGCTACAAATTATCATAGTCTCAGTGTGTTTGGGGTAGGCTGCACTTTTTTTGTTATTTATTCAAGTTGTGGCAAATTTGATAGCCCCATGCTACCTGCTTCAGAAAACGTGGCCAATTCAACCACAACTTCACAACTTTTTCCCCATATGATGCTCAGTGCAGCTCTCAGAATCACCTATGAGTAGTCAAGAGGTATGTAGTCTCCAAGTAAACCTGCCCACTTGAATTATATTACTGACCTTATGCTATAGCAGAAAGTAAGTACACTTTTTTTCACTCAACTGAAAAACTCCATGCTTTTCCTTATACACAAGTACGGTCATAAAAATGCAGTTCTTAATGACATAGATTTGTACCAAAGAGGTGGTTGGTGATTGATTATACTCTATACAACATGACAAATAACAGTAGCTTAAAAAGGTCCTGAATGAGATCAATATTTACTCAAGAGACCAATAGTACAACTTGAAAGCCTCTCGAGGTTCCCTCACGCACCAGATCAATTAAAGGCTGGACGAAACCACACTCAAAACCCTCATGATTGCTCAATATCACCATTGCACAAATGATAGTTCAAAGGTGATGTCTTTTGCCATTTACATATTAGCTATCAATCTATACCCTCAAGACACAGCAGGTACACCTACATATTTTACGTTCGCCTTACAAAGTCTTTTGAAATGATACAATACGGCATTTGCTTGACTTTGGAAAAGAAATATATTGAGAGAACTTAGGTTGAGTGGATATCATACTATCCACTGTTACCTGCTACTTACTGTCGATCCAAAGCATATGAAAGGGTAATACGGGTGTGAAGTGGGTCCCTTGAATCAATATAGGTCCATTTGAGTTGGTATAGGTGTGCTAGTCACAACCACATAATAGATATTACTAAAGGTACATAAATTTGAGAATTTCATATCGTTTTGTGGCAGGGTCAAAACGAGATATCTCATCCCAAAAACCATTAAATCTGATGATAAAACCCTAGGATGGCTGAAACTTTGCGTAGTTTCAGCTTCTCTCCATCACCTACCAGGGTCCAGCACACATATCCAAACGAACGGCCTGATCACTCGCATCATATTTAGGTGTATCCAGCATATCCCCAAAGGAACTTGATATTGACAAAGGAGCGCAGGTAGGACTCTATTTCTTTTTGGCTGCCTTCATGCAACACTTAAATTGAAGTTTGTCTTTCAAATCCCCCCAATCACAAACCACAAACCACTATCTTGACTATATGATTTTTGACACGAGTCTTTTTTGATCTGATTTCCAAACCCTCAACCCCTTCAACTCCTTTTCATCACACCCTATCACACCTCAAGCCATGCCACCATCACCTCGTCGACGAACCACCACACGTGCCACTCGATCGAACCAGGCCCGTCATTCTACCACCCAGACAACCAACGATACATCACCAGCAGCCAAGCGTCCCCGCCGTCAAACCAAGCGCACCCGTGGATCTACGACTAATGATGACTCAGCATCTACTCGTGTAGAAGATCAAGGAGACCATCTCCCGACCCCGTCTGCTACTCAAGACCAACGTCAAACACCAGACGATGTCGACATCTCTATGATCACCCTTCAAAACTATCAGACCTTTCAAGACTCTTGGCCTATTCCGCGGATTCAAGACCAGTTGAAAAAACAGTCGTCTTCAAACCACCAGATCAGCGCAGCGGTTCTTGCCGAAGGACTGGCTGTCCTAGGGAAAATGGACCATACGCTTCACATGATTGCGCTGGCATCAGGAGTATGTGTCAACAACTTGAAAAGAAGTCTGTGAGTCTATTCAAGTACATTTAGCAGCCAAGCTTTGTGATAGCACGATCATACTGACTGTACATTCTTTTCAGGGGCTTACTCGGTGGAACTCATGGGGAAAATCCCTGGCATCGGTGGCTTAGCTTTGCGCTTGCAGCAAACGATTACCCAAGTAAGGAAGTAAGACATCTCTAGCCTTGATCAATTGCTGATACTGTGATACTATATCTCGAATCTCTCAGTGCCACCTCGAGGACACCCCGAGGCGTCGGAATTGCTTGCAATTCGCAATAAGGCCAACTCGGATACTTATAACGCCCTCACGGTGACCGAACGTGAAGTGTTCACGGCCCAGGTATTCTACGCTCTTGGCGGATACCCAGACTACTCATCTGTAACCACCAGTGAAGAGACCGACTCATTTGGCGACCCTGTCATCCTTATCCCAGAGATTACAAAGCTTAGCCATGAAGACGAACTTCGGTACCGCCCAATCTATGAAGACTTGGTTGACATGAAGAAAGTGGCCCGAGATCGAGAGCTCAATACCCCTGCTGCAGCTTCCCAAAAACAGGAGAAGCGCTCTCTCCAATCTTTTCGCAAGATAGCTCAACAAGTAAGTAAATTTTGATTACATTTTAGATCGATCACTTATTTTGATTTATGATAATCAAATGCTTTTGACCACAGTTATCACGAGACCATCAACTTTTTGGTTTAGATTATTATATCATAGCTTGCAGTTCTACTAGCGCAGGGCATGGATGGTGTCGCGAGTATACTAGTCGGGACGAAATTTCCGACTGGGTCAGTAAGAAGGCAGATTTGCAGCAAATTTTCCCTATCTACTGCCAAAATGGTTCGACAATTGATGAAGTAAGAGCAGTTGCAGCTGCCAACGCAGCCGCTAAATCTGGCACTGAAACTCAAAAGTCTTCAAATAATCAATCCGATAAGGATAAAAAGGACCTTACCCTCAAGTTGAAAACCCTTTTGGGTAAGTCATCTACATCTACCTCAAAAGCTTTCTCTTGATCTAGAAATAATTGATCCCCACTTTTTACTAGTCAATGTCCTTGGCAAAGACGCTCCTCCATTTCCTCGTATTGCTGATCCCATTGGGGCCATCAAAGACCGAAAAATTGATGTGATTGTTGAACGGGCGTCTGACTCCGCTCTGTCGAATGAAGACTTCAACAAGGGTTTCTTAGGGATGTCTGCCAAGGCCAGACGAAACTGGATGAGCAATATTGACAAGGGGAAATTCATGATCAAGAAGGGACAATCTCCAGGCAACGCTCCTCAGGATCATCATCTCAATGCACAAGGACCCAATGGCGATTCTCACGGGGCTACAGCCAATCCTAATGGGGGTAACAACAATTCTCAACGACCTGAAAGTGATTCTAACTCCAATAACAACTCTGAAAACAATCCTAACTCCAACAATAACGCTGAAAACAATCCCAACTCTTGCAACAACCTTCACGGACCCGAAAACAATCCTAACGGAGGTGTTTCCAATCCTAATGCGGCTAACGGTGCAAGTGGTAACAATAGTTGTCAGCTTGTATGAGACTAGTGAGTCCTGGATCATCTAAATAGTTACATTGCCCTGTGCCTAACATTCTGATCTTTGTTTTGTAGATGATTCACTCTTCATATGATGGATCGGATGTTTAATCAATTTGTGATGGAGAAATTTTAAATACTTTTCACCTCGATTTTGGATCAAAGTCATCAGATTACTTTTCAAAACATGAAATGTAATGTTCTTGTAAACAAATCGATTTCTTTTTCAATTGTTGTTGTCTCATTTTCTTTATTTGCTTTTTGAGACTTGATATAAATTGTTTTGAATACAGTTGTAATCAAAATGCAAGCCTGAAAAAGAACTGATTTCAATTGATGAATACAAACTTTTCTGATCGGAATAACAAAAAGAATGAGCTAGATCATTGAATTAAAGAATGAACAAAGAACAAATCAATTTGTCATCAAGTCGTGTTTGTTTTTTTCCGGCAGGCATATGGAAGATAAAATAGTTGTACAATTCATTTTCATTTAGGGTGTTCAAACCTGTGCAAGAAATGTGCAAGACCGACGTGCAAGATCCGTGCAAGATCCGTGCAAGATTTTTTGCACTAATCTTGCACAGTAATTTTTTTGACAACCCGAGTTATTGTGTTCCAAACCGTGCAAAAACCGTGCGAGACCGACTCTTGCAAGTTTTGTGCAAGATCCGTGCAAGTTCTATTCATATCTTGCACAGAACTTGCACAAAACTTGCATGAATTGATTTTGAGGTTTGAACACCCTAATTGACAATTTTTGATTTGAATATTTGAAAAGAAATACATCATACATACTTACACATTGTACCGCTGATTTAAGCACAATCTGGTTCCATGCTGTGTCTCGCACGCTTCGAGCCAGCGAGGGATCAGATTGTGTTGACGAGGACCAATGATAACTTATGTATGAATTGGAGACAAATTACATACAATAAATCGTTGAAATTCAATTGGCTTTGAACCACACGAGAAAAGAAATCCAGTCAGAGTACTGATCTAGTTTCAAATCATACAGTACTAATGTATATTGAGTCCGAATTTTTAATGAAATGAAAAGAGTTCATTGCAATATGAAAGAATTTGGATCTCATTGAATCGCATTCATTTAATAACTTCTTCATATACATATTGCATTTCATATGTTTTCTCTTGTCCTTTTCCTTTTTTGCATTTTTACCGTACTGTCCGACTCTATTCTTTTTATGTTCTCTTTTTGTAGCCTCAATGTAATGGATACAAGATATTCTCGCATGCTCACAGAGGTTGAACATTCAATGAGTGGTCTGAGGAAGGATCAAATGATGCACAATTGATTGTGAGCTTTGAGTTGAAGATCACGTGTGATCGTTTGATTTGTTGTGTTGGTGATGTATTCGGATGGATTGGACCAGCCTGATGTGTTTCAAAAAATGAGTTCAGACCAGTCTGTTTTGTATTTGGTGTTGTGTGCATGTGGATGAGAGCAGACCAGTCTGATCAGATATGAGGTGTGTGTGTGTAGTGCGAGTATGAGGCACAGACCGGTATGTGAGAGCCAATATTTTCACCACCACCTCCAAAAGGGCACAGACGGCTTTTGACGGCAGAAGAAACGGACCTGCTCTTGATGCACAATTCGAACGACAAAGCCTGGGAGGCAGCGAGAAATCAGAGAGACCGGCAGGCTTTCAAAAAAGCGACCCTCAAAGGCAAAGCGCACCTTCGTCAATTGGCCAAGTTGATGGGTTACAAGTACTTAATGGAGAGAACCAACAACTGGAATCCAGGTCATTGGGATTGGAACACCTTCGAGAAGAGAAAGGGTTCCAAAGTTTCGACATCAGCTCATCAACAGAAAGGAAACCATCCACCTCCACGAGCAACCATGACAAAAGGAGAGCTGGCCCTTCAGATGATCAAGGAGGCAGGGATAGCAGCGAGGACTTAGAGCTCACCATCCTCCCTTTAGACCGAGAACTCATGAACCCTGTGTTGCATCATTTGAAATTGTACCTTGACCCTATTGTACTTAGTCATGAGAGACTGTTAGGCGAAATACATACCATTGAGGAACTTGTCAAAAACATCTACGATAGTAAGAGAATTGATACCCTTGACAGAACCATATCAGGTCTGATTAAAAATGTTAATGAGCAAGTGAGAGTTCTGAATCAAGTAGGTTTAGCGGTTAAACAGTCATCAGAGGGCATCACCTCCTTTAAAGAGGAGTTGCACAATTGGACAAACGAGACAATGAAAGTAGTCGGGGATGACATAAGTGCAACGCGCCATAAGATGATTGATGAACATAAAAAACATCTAGATGAGATCAGCAGAGAGACGAATAAGATAATACATGTCCTGAACAACAACATGAGAGCAACTAACGATACAATCAGGGAAAGTAGTGTAGCACCGATTCATACTGATCAGTATGCTAAGAAGACACACGATCAGATAGCGAGTATGCAAGCCATCATTAAACAACTGCAAGCTTCGGTGGGGCAACAGAGTGAGGAATTGTTACTTATGAGATCCCATAACGAGGAAGTTATCAAACTTCTCTCCAACATTGCGCTCAAACAAAACTCACGCGGAAATTCAACTAACAAAGAAGTTGAAGAACAGACCAGGGAATTACCACCACACATGCGCGAACCTCAGGGCAGGGTCCAGTCAGAGCAGAAGATGACGGTGCAAAAACGGGAATCACCGGGTCTGCAACCGCCACCAACAGGAGACGAAAGTTGGTTGCAGCCAGCTGAATCTAGTGGGCACACTGATAAGGGTAAAAATCGAGAGACGCCCTTTAAAAAAGAAGGCAGTCCCGACTATGAGTTCAAAATGTTCGATTTGCTCAAAAAGGAGGTGCCTTTAGGTAAAGACTGGCCAAAATTCAGTGGCACTGGGGAATATGATCACATTACGTTCATCGAATGGGTTGATCATATACAACAAACCATGCATGTTCCGGACTCTTTGATTACGTCACGCATGGGACTGGCCTTTACAGGACTGGCAGAACTGTGGTTCTTGCAGAAAAGGAAAGAGAAATCATTCTCGTGGGAAGAATGGAAAGCCGCCATTTGCGAAAGATTCAGCACGAGAGAATGGCGTCGTAATATGCAAACAGCTTTTGACAATGACCGTTTCAACCCAAGAATCCATACAGACATTATGACGTAGTTGGTAACTCAGCGTAAGAGGCTCCAAGCAGCACAGCCTAGCGCCACAGATGAGCAAGTGGTGGATAAGATGTTAGATCAGTGTTCTGGAAACTTAGACCATGCCGTGCGTAGCAGGTTGGGGTCGAATACTGATTTCGTGAACTTCACCACAGTTTTTGAAGCCGTGGTGAAGAGGACCACCATTGGGAGAGACAGACCAATTAGCAAACCTGCACAAGATTGGAAAACTCAGGCTACCAGCGGGAGTAACACAACTCAAAGACCTGCTACAGCGAAACCAACGGTGACTCGCGTACCAGGAAAGTGCGATACCTGCGGTAGTACAGAGGCAGGCCATGACTTCAGAGCTTGTAGACGTAAAAGTAAGAACATTAACGTCATCGAAGAGGATATTGAGGAAGAACCGCATTCACCCACAGGTGAAGAATTAGAAATCATCTTTAATGATGACCATGACTCGCTCTACGACGACGGTGAGTATCGAGTTATTCAAGACGATTCCTCGCGAACAGCCGGTATTTTAGATGTTGAAAAAGCTTTTGAAGTCATGGACATCTCCTGTTTGGAGGGAACCATAGCCAAAGGGCCAGCCTTCATTGAACAAAGAACGAATACTGAGATTTTGGGTAGCCCTTTCCTAAACACAATGTGCAACAGCTGGAAGATGAATATGTTGATTGATACAGGAGCTTGTCATTCACTTATTACGCCACGAATTCTGGACAAAATATGGATGCATTGGGAACGAGAAGTCCGAGCTCCTGAACAGATTTGAAAGTACTACAGTGCATCAGGAGGTCTCACAGCGTTAGGTGAAATTACACTACCTATACAGTTTCTCCATGAAACGCATCCCTGCATTTTAATGATAGATTTCGTGATTATTCTTGACGCCAGACACGTGGAAGTAATCCTCGGGGCAGATATGATGAACTCATATGGTATGAGCGTCTCATACAAGGACGAGATAGAGCTGAGAATACAAGGTGCAGAAGCCGTATTCAAGCCAATCCACGAAAGACATATCATAGGAAGAAGTATTGACGCCGTCAATGTCAGAGCCATTGAATCATTCAACGAGGAAATTGATATTTCCCATTTGCAAGCTTGGGCTGAACTACCACAAACCTGGCATAAAGGTTTGGAAAGTAGACAGATAAGTGATGCAAGACAAATGAGGAGCAGACCAGCGGCAGGCAAAGCTCACCTAACAGGCCATCACAGCATGACGACTGTCATCGTGGAAGATCAAGAATTTGGCTGCCTACTAGACAGCGGAGCATCCTGCTCAGTGGTAGGTGAAAGATTCCTGTCTCGAGCTTTACCAGAATGGCGTAAACGCATGCTGCCAAAAAGTAACACAACATTCAAAGGATGTGGTGAGACTCTCGAAGCTATTGGTGTCGTCGAGATTCCTATGATTTTTCCGCACACAGCAGGATCAGTCAGAATCCAGCCAGAGTTCGTAGTGATGAGAAATGCCACACCACGGTATTTTATCCTGGGGGACGACTTCTTATCCCTCTACGGTATTGATATCATCCACACTTGTGAGAAATATTTCACAATAGGGAATGATAACAAACGGAAAAAATTCGCTTTTTTGCAAGCAAAGCGGGTAATGCCCATACAATCCAATATAAACAGTACGAAACCCAAGTTAACGGCCGAGACAAGTAAACAAATCGTGACTGGGACTAACCTTGACAACCAAAAATCAAGCCAAATCCACGAACTAGTTAACGAATATCGAGATAGTTTTGGTCTAGGAGGGACCGCAATAGGTACTATTAAGAAATATGAAGTCGAGATACAATTAACAGTAGAGAAGCCATACCCTCCTATCTTACGTAAAGCAGCGTACCCAGCCAGCCCTAGGAATAGAGCAGAGCTGGAGATCCATATTACCGAATTACTCAAATTGGGAATACTTAGAAAGGTACGACAAAATGAAGACGTGGAAATTACAACACCATGTGTCGTAGCATGGCACGGCGGAAAATCCAGAGTGTGCGGCGATTTTAGGGCACTAAACGCATATACAGTACCAGACAGGTACCCTATGCCGCGCATTGAGCAAGTCATTACCAACCTGGGAAAGTCAATATATATCACCACAATGGATATGATGAAAGGCTTTCATCAGAATGTAGTAGCAGAAAGTAGCAGGAAATTCTTGCGTATAATATGCCACCTAGGGATATTTGAGTACCAGAGGATGCTATTTGGGATTAAGAACGCACCAGCATTCTTTCAGAAGATGATGGATACTGAGTTTTATGAAGAACTACGAGAGGGACATGTGATAGTTTATATAGACGATATTATTGTCTTTCATGAAACATGGGAGGAACATGTTAATACCTTGAACTCCATTTTGAAGAAACTCAGAGCTTTAGGAGCTACTGTGTCTCTAGACAAATGCAAATTTGGATTTCACGAAGTAAAAGCCCTAGGACACATAGTGTCAGGACTGACCTTGGCAATAGATCAAAATAAAGTCGCAGCAGTAATACACCGCCCGTTGCCAAAGACGGTTAAAGATATACAAAGTTTTTTGGGGTTTTCTAGTTATTATAGGATGTACTTAGAGAATTATGCTAAGGTTACTTTCCCTCTATATTACTTGTTGAAAAAGGGAGTGGAATTTTCAATTACGGCTGAGAGGGCGAAAGCCTGGGATACTGTCAAAAAACTTCTCACTTCAGCACCATGTTTGCTGCAACCTGATTTCGAGAAACCATTTATTCTATACGTAGACGCGAGTTTTTTGGGCCTCGGAGCAGCTTTACATCAAAAACAGGTATTTAATGACAAATTGGTTAACGGACCAGTCTGCTTTATTTCTAGGCAATTGAAAGATAGCGAAAAGCGTTACGGAGCACCCCAGTTGGAGTGCCTAGCTTTAGTATGGGCTTTGAACAAGCTACACTATTACTTGGACGGGATCTACTTTGAAGTAGTTACGGACTGTCAAGCTATTAAGTCCCTTCTCAACACTAAAACGCCGACGAGACACATGTTGAGGTGGCAGATGGCTATCCAGGAATATAAAGCATATATGACCATAACGCATTGGCCGGGGATCTTACATAGCAATGCGGACGCTCTTAGTAGGATGGCTATGCCAAACAATGCCGACAATCCCGCATGGGAAGGTGAGGATGAAGATCGTGACGTTCCAATCATGGGCATCAGCCTTTGCGATTTATCTGATGAATTTTTTACTAAAATCGAAGATAGCTATGCCTATAACTCGAATACTTTAACTCTGATTAAGATATTTAAATTGGAACACAAGGATGCTGCGCTGGAAAGCACGTTAGAAAACGAGTGGAAGGAACCGTTCGCTGAAGGAAAGTTCTCCCTTATCTCGGGGCTTTTGTACCATAAAGAGAAACACACGAATGCGCTAGTAGTATGTGATAAATCAGATATCAAAAAACTAATAGCAGTCTGCCATGATGACTTTATGTCAGGACATCTCAGCGAAGACAGGGTGGTTGAACGAATGACAACTACGGCATGGTGGCCGTTGTGGAGAAAAGACATTCAGACATATGTAGAATCCTGTGAGAGGTGCCAGAAGGCAAATAAGCAGACCGGGAAGAGATTTGGACTCCTCCAGAGGATCGAAGAACCAAAGTTCCCTTGGGAAGTCATTAACATGGACTTCGTGACAGTGTTACCACCAGCGGGAAGCAATAATGTTAATAGTGTACTAGTGGTGGTTGACAGGTTTTCAAGAAGGACTAGATTCATTCCTTGTCATAAAGAAATAGATGCCGCTGGGACGGCGATGCTATTCTGGCAACACATCATCACGGATTGTGGCCTTCCAAGAGTAATTATCAGTGACCGCGACCCCAAATTCACTTCTGAATTCTGGCGCGGTCTGACAAAGCTCATGGGAACTAGTCTAGCGATGTCGACCTCCTATCATCCCCAGACAGACGGACTAGCGGAGAGGATGATACAGAGTCTCGAAGATATGTTGAGACGATACTGTGCATTCGGATTAAACTTCAAAGATAAGGAGGGTTATACCCATGACTGGAAATCACTTCTGCCAGCATTGGAACTTGCGTATAACACAAGCGTCCATAGCACGACAGGAAAGACCCCATTCAAAATCGAGCGTGGATATAACCCACGGACTCCAAAGGAAATGGTTCTAGATAAAACAATCCAATTCCACCCGACCGCGTTAAGTTTCCACAAAATGTTGGCCAAGTCAAGACAGCACGCACGAAACTGTATCGAGGAGTCGGTGAAATATAATAAGGACCGTTGGGATAAATCACATCGAGAACCAGCCTTCATGATAGGAGATAAAGTTCTGATATCAACATTAAATTTTAACAATATTCAAGGTCCTAGGAAGTTATCCACTAATACGAGTGTGAATTAGGTTTTGGCGAAATTGTTCTGCCATTTAATAATATTTATATTTATTTTTATTATTATCTTTTCCACATCAGTTTCCTTAGGACAAGTTCCTCCTATGTAGTTTACAAAGTTTGTATTCTTTATTTTAGAACTACGTTTGGGGGTGTGGGGGTGGCCCCAATAGAGCTACTCGGGTATTATAACGGGGTTATTGGCCTCGTCACCGAGTATCTCTCTTGGGGCGATCACAATATCCCATCGGGGGCTTCTCATCCCCATTTCTCACAGAGCCATGCAGCCGGATCTTTGGCCAGATTTCATTTGGCTGTAAACTTAGATTTTCTGGCCAAAGATCTGGCCACAAGATTTGAATATCATTTTCCCCATTATCTTCCTGTATTTACATACCATGCGATCTTCAAACCTTGTTTGGTTATTTAGGGGATACAAGGTCTCACTTTGAAATACAATTCTGTTAATCTATGCATAGATTGATTGAATCTTATGGATTCATTTCATCTTGTTCAATTAGAGTTCACCAGTGAACCTTGTTCCTGTTGTTGGATGAACGTTCAACTAACTATGCATTAGAATACTGTCATCCGTGACTCATTGGACTTTTAGTTGATCCTCATTCTTTTTGTACTCATTTCTAAGTTCTCTCAATATTTTCTTCGTTTTCTCTAATTCTCTATCCGAAAACCTTCTAAGGTATATTTTATAAGCATCGGAGCTCCACCTTCCAATTTCTTTTATTTTGTCTCTTCCGGCTCCTAAGTTCCACCTTAGCAAGGCTCCACCTATTCGAAATGAGTGACCATGTAGCAATTGTTTTCTTTTCGATCGTTTCTTATTCCAAACTTCTCTTAAGATTTCTATACCATGGTTTTTCCCTATTCTTCTCTTTACCCCATTCAATCTCAAAGTGAATATCTCATCCGTTGGTTTTCGTTGTCTGAAATTAAACCAGTTCTCCAGGATCGATATCGGGTCTAGTTTCGACTTTTGCTTGTGGACGTTAATGTATTGGATTTCACCCGGGGCAGCCGTTTTTGCATTATGGATTGCTATCCTTACTGTCATCTTATCCTTGGACCATTCCACATCTTGCCATTTTGGCAGTGTTTTCTTTGGGTCATCTGAAATTAGTTCCCCTAATCAAGCTACTCCCCAAAACGCTACCATCGCCACTGCTAATATCGCCAGGCCTTCTTCTCCCCTTTTCGGTAATTCCTCAATGAGGACAATCAAGTCTGATATTAGTACTGGTGGTCGTTTTTCATCTAACTCTTTGAGGTTTGCTTCAATCTTCTTCGTAGCTTTCAATAGAGATTTTATTGCATTGTCGGCTTTGGATGGGTAGTCTACTCCATGGAATGTATGCCA